ACTCCGAGCCGACCAGTCCTTGTTTTAGCCCCTTTATGCCGAGCGCCAAACAGGGTAACTACAAGTACCATCTTTTAACGTCTTTTGGTATGACGCGGCCGGGGATCGAACCCCGGATCTTCCGCTCTCCGGGCGGACGCTCAACCACTAGACCACGGAGGTAGTTCCAAGTACTGACTCTGGACATAACAGCGGACCACAGTGGCAATTAGGAAGTACAAGCTGTCCGGCCGCTGACGTGTCATTTCTCCTGTGAACGTCGCCAGAAACCTATGATTGTGGGTTCGAATCCCGAATCGCCCCGATCATGTTTCTGGGTTTGTCAGCACCATACCAGTGCTCGTGGGTTTCACCAAAGTGGTAAACGTCTGAGGCCTGCATCGCTTCGGGGTTTCCTCTTAGATTAAGCTGGCGCGCCGTGATATAACTGGAATACTGTCAGGACTTGCGTTAAAAACAAAAAACGTGGTTGACGTGAGCTCAACGTAGTGTACACGTGGCGCAATGGTTAATTTCATATTAGGGCACTGGGGTAACCCCATGGTTAAAGCGTTCGCCCTTAACGCCCGGGTTCGATTCCCCACAATGGGTACAATATGTGAAGCCCATTTCTGTTCGTAAATATTATCATTATTGACGCTTTAGCAGCCACGCCCCCTTAGTCTGACCGGGTAGCCTAATGGTTAAAGTGTAGGCTCGTTACACCGAAGGCCTCGGTTCGATTCTCTAATTTTCTGGTATCTTCCGACATAATACTGCCGAAATATTGCTGATACGGCTTAAAACAATACTCAGTCACTCGTATTGAGGGCACACCTACCCGGTTGTACTTTGCCAGCTCAAGACGAAATTTCAACGACTGGTCCATTTTCCGTTTGTACCATTTCTTAACGATAAAGAATTGCATATCAATATTAGAAAACATTCTGCAAAAACTTGACTGAAGTATTCGATTTTAAAAGCATCTATCTCTATAGTATTCACACGACACACACGTAAGTTGTATCGTGTTCCGAAAATTCCACCCTGCTCCAATATTTGTACGTTCACATTCTCTCTATGTTTGTATGTTCACATTATCTCAAAGAGTGTATGTTCACATTATCTAAATGTTTGAATGTACACATTATCTCAATGATTGTATGTTCACATTATCTAAATGTTTGAATGTACACATTATCTCAATGATTGTATGTTCACATTATCACAATGTTTGTAAGTACACATGATCTCCATGTTTGTATGTTCACATTATCTCAAAGATTCCATGTACAGATTGTCTCAATAATTGTACGTTCACATTATCTAAATGTTTGAATGTACAGATTGTCTCAACGATTGTATGTTCACATTATCTAAATGTTTGAATGTACACATTATCTCAATGAGTGTATGTTCACATTATCTAAATGTTTGAATGTACACATTATCTCAACGATTGTATGTTCACATTATCTCAAAGATTCTATGTACAGATTGTCTCAATGATTGTATGTTCACATTATCTAAATGTTTGAATGTACAGATTGTCTCAACGATTGTATGTTCACATTATCTAAATGTTTCAATGTACACATTATCTCAACGATTGTATGTTCACATTATCTCAAAGATTCTATGTACAGATTGTCTCAATGATTGTATGTTCACATTATCTAAATGTTTGAATGTACAGATTGTCTCAATGATTGTATGTTCACATTATCTAAATGTTTGAATGTACAGATTGTCTCAACGATTGTATGTTCACATTATCTAAATGTTTGAATGTACAGATTGTCTCAACGATTGTATGTTCACATTATCTAAATGTTTGAATGTACAGATTGTCTCAATGATTGTATGTTCACATTATCTAAATGTTTGAATGTACAGATTGTCTCAATGATTGTATGTTCACGTTATCTAAATGTTTGAATGTACACATTATCTCAACGATTGTATGTTCACATTATCTCAAAGATTCTATGTACAGATTGTCTCAATGATTGTATGTTCACATTTTCTAAATGTTTGAATGTACAGATTGTCTCAATGATTGTATGTTCACATTATCTAAATGTTTGAATGTACAGATTGTCTCAATGATTGTATGTTCACATTATCTAAATGTTTGAATGTACACATTATCTCAATGATTGTATGTTCACATTATCTAAATGTTTGAATGTACAGATTGTCTCAATGATTGTATGTTCACATTATCTAAATGTTTGAATGTACAGATTGTCTCAATGATTGTATGTTCACATTATCTAAATGTTTGAATGTACAGATTGTCTCAACGATTGTATGTTCACATTATCTAAATGTTTGAATGTACAGATTGTCTCAATGATTGTATGTTCACATTATCTAAATGTTTGAATGTACAGATTGTCTCAATGATTGTATGTTCACATTATCACAATGTTTGTATGTTCACAATATCCCAATGTTTGTAAGTACAAATTATCTCAATGTTTGTAAGTACACATTATCTCAATGTTTGTAAGTACACATTATCTCCATGTTTGTAAGTACACATTATCTCAATGTTTGTAAGTACACATTATCTCCATGTTTGTAAGTACACATTATCTCAATGTTTGTAAGTACACATTATCTCAATGTTTGTATGTTCACAATATCCCAATGTTTGTATGTTCACAATATCCCAATGTTTGTAAGTACAAATTATCTCAATGTTTGTAAGTACACATTATCTCAATGTTTGTAAGTACACAATATCTCAATGTTTATATGTTCACATTATCTCAATGTTTGTAAGTACACATTATCTCAATGTTTGTAGGTACACATTATCTCCATGTTTGTAAGTACACATTATCTCAATGTTTGTAGGTACACATTATCTCCATGTTTGTAAGTACACATTATCTAAATGTTTGAATGTACACATTATCACAATGATTGTATGTTCACATTATCACAATGTTTGTAAGTACACATGATCTCCATGTTTTTATGTTCACATTATGTCAAAGATTCTATGTACAGATTGTCTCAATGATTGTACGTTCACATTATCTAAATGTTTGAATGTACAGATTGTCTCAACGATTGTATGTTCACATTATCTAAATGTTTGAATGTACAGATTGTCTCAATGATTGTATGTTCACATTATCTAAATGTTTGAATGTACAGATTGTCTCAATGATTGTATGTTCACATTATCACAATGTTTGTATGTTCACAATATCCCAATGTTTGTAAGTACAAATTATCTCAATGTTTGTAAGTACACATTATCTCAATGTTTGTAAGTACACATTATCTCCATGTTTGTAAGTACACATTATCTCAATGTTTGTAAGTACACATTATCTCCATGTTTGTAAGTACACATTATCTCAATGTTTGTATGTTCACAATATCCCAATGTTTGTATGTTCACAATATCCCAATGTTTGTAAGTACAAATTTTCTAAATGTTTGTAAGTACACATTATCTCAATGTTTGTAAGTACACAATATCTCAATGTTTATATGTTCACATTATCTCAATGTTTGTATGTTCACATTATCTCAATGTTTGTAGGTACACATTATCTCCATGTTTGTAAGTACACATTATCTAAATGTTTGTAGGTACACATTATCTCCATGTTTGTAAGTACACATTATCTAAATGTTTGAATGTACACATTATCACAATGATTGTATGTTCACATTATCACAATGTTTGTAAGTACACATGATCTCCATGTTTTTATGTTCACATTATGTCAAAGATTCTATGTACAGATTGTCTCAATGATTGTATGTTCACATTATCTAAATGTTTGAATGTACAGATTGTCTCAATGATTGTATGTTCACATTATCACAATGTTTGTATGTTCACAATATCACAATGTTTGTAAGTACAAATTATCTCAATGATTGTATGTTCACATTATCTAAATGTTTGAATGTACAGATTGTCTCAACGATTGTATGTTCACATTATCTAAATGTTTGAATGTACAGATTGTCTCAATGATTGTATGTTCACATTATCTAAATGTTTGAATGTACACATTATCTCAACGATTGTATGTTCACATTATCTAAATGTTTGAATGTACAGATTGTCTCAATGATTGTATGTTCACATTATCTAAATGTTTGAATGTACAGATTGTCTCAACGATTGTATGTTCACATTATCTAAATGTTTGAATGTACAGATTGTCTCAATGATTGTATGTTCACATTATCTAAATGTTTGAATGTACACATTATCTCAATGATTGTATGTTCACATTATCTAAATGTTTGAATGTACAGATTGTCTCAATGATTGTATGTTCACATTATCTCAAAGATTCTATGTACAGATTGTCTCAATGATTGTATGTTCACATTATCACAATGTTTGAATGTACAGATTGTCTCAATGATTGTATGTTCACATTATCACAATGTTTGTATGTTCACAATATCCCAATGTTTGTAAGTACAAATTATCTCAATGTTTGTAAGTACACATTATCTCAATGTTTGTAAGTACACATTATCTCCATGTTTGTAAGTACACATTATCTCAATGTTTGTAGGTACACATTATCTCCATGTTTGTAAGTACACATTATCTCAATGTTTGTAAGTACACATTATCTCAATGTTTGTATGTTCACAATATCCCAATGTTTGTATGTTCACAATATCCCAATGTTTGTTAGTACAAATTATCTCAATGTTTGTAAGTACACATTATCTCAATGTTTGTAAGTACACAATATCTCAATGTTTATATGTTCACATTATCTCAATGTTTGTAAGTACACATTATCTCAATGTTTGTAAGTGCACATTATCTCAATGTTTGTATGTTCACAATATCCCAATGTTTGTATGTTCACAATATCCCAATGTTTGTAAGTACAAATTTTCTAAATGTTTGTAAGTACACATTATCTCAATGTTTGTAAGTACACAATATCTCAATGTTTATATGTTCACATTATCTCAATGTTTGTAGGTACACATTACCTCCATGTTTGTAAGTACACATTATCTCAATGTTTGTAGGTACACATTATCTCCATGTTTGTAAGTACACATTATCTCAATGTTTGTAGGTACACATTATTACCATGTTTGTAAGTACACATTATCTCAATGTTTGTAAGTACACATTATCTCAATGTTTGTAGGTACAAATTATCTCAATGTTTGTCAGTACACTATCTCAATGTTTGTAAGTACACATTATCTCCATGTTTGTAAGTACACATTATCTCAATGTTTGTAGGTACACATTATCTCCATGTTTGTAAGTACACATTATATCAATGTATGTAAGTACACATTATCTCTAAGTTTGTAAATACATATTATCTCAATGTTCTTAAGTACACATTATCTCTAAGTTTGTAAATACATATTATCTTAATGTTTGTAGGTTTCATTGGTTGAATTTCTGAGTTATTTACCCAACCCAACCATATGCCTACCAGGCGGCGTTAATACATATTTGTACAATGAATGTGATTGTCAGTTACAATCTGATTGGCTAACAAAATGTTGGAAATCTGGATATATTGTGGACTTTTCAATGCAATTATTGACCATTCTAAACTTAAAACAAAATGTCAGTCTCACAACTGTGAGTCTCCACTTCGACACAGAAAACTTAAGTATGTTTTCAAATTTACAATATGTAGGTCCCAATTCACTGACGTACCATTTTTATCCATTTCCTCCGTTTGAAGATTACCAAGACGCAGATAAAAATGAAAGCCGCCGCTCCACCTAATCCACCAATGGTCGCCATGCTTGTCCCACTATCAATGTGGGCCCCAGAATCTACGAAAATGTTTAATAAAAAATCACAAACATTTATATGCTTGTATATAAGACATAGCACAGTCGCATGAACTCTTTACTTTTGGACAAATCATTTGCCATTAGATAAACCCGAGAAAAAAACGTGGACCGTGAGTTTTGAATCCTACATTCGGATCCGTTGTCTTTCGGAGCGTCAGGTCGGTGTCTCTGGTCGGTGACTCGGTTCTCTGGCCGAGTCATGCTAAAATATTATAATACGTTAAAAGATGGTACTCTTGTTATCCTGATTGACGTTCGGGTTAAGATAAAAAAAAAGGACTAGCCAGTTCGGTAAGGGGCATCCATGTTAAACTCCGGCATGGTTCCTCATCGTGCTGGCATTACAAAACCGACAGCTATGACTAAAAATAATATAAAAAACATATTTGGACAGTTAGACCACACGCAAGCTACCTTGGGAACGTGTGTGTTCTATCCGGTTTACAAAGAGAATGTTTTTGGATGTAGTATATAGGTCCGAGTACCGTACGTAGGAACAGCCACATGACCAGATACACTTTGACCCGGAAGTCGTATTATTGCTATGCGCATCGGGATCAAAAAGAAAGCCTCACCTCTTTTGCACGTGCAGGGATGAAAACAACAACAAAAAGTTTGTACAAACTGCCAAAAAGGAAGAATGTGACCTTGAAAATATATTATTTTTCTTAAAACAAAAATGTAAAAGGCCCTTCTTGAATCTGCTGAGATCTGGAAAATTTCAGAAACGAAAACTACTTTGAGAAATCATTGTGAAAGTTCTCAGCTGTGCTCACATGAATGACAATGAATCTTTATTTTATCGAAGCCTCTTACAAAAAACATGCAAGTCCTTGACAGGAGCTGGTTTTCGTCAGGAGCGCAATTAAAGACAGTAAGAAAAAACAAAATGGGAAATATAAATCATCTTGGGCCACGAACTTGTTTAAATCTCAATCTTATCCTGGCATTTTCATGCAACTCATTGTTGTCAATAGCAGACAAAGTAAAATTGCCTTTGATGTCGCACTTGGAGCACTTCAGAAAAAGACAATTGTGTTCGTTTAGGGCCATTCCATGCGAAAATCTTTGGAGGGCTTTCACATTTTACTAAAGGGCGGTGCAATATCGGAGAAAAAGATCATATTTTAATAAGATTGGACAAAAACAACCAACGGTGGGGCAGGAAACATCTAGTATCACCACCATTTGATAGCGATTTATAAAATACAACGTCAATGAGAATATCCAGTCTCGATTATCCCTGAAACAGATTCCATTGCGGGTAGCCGGCAAAATAGCGGTGAAAAATCATATGAATGGATCACTAAAAACCAGTGATGACAGCAGGTGTTCGCGTCAGAATAGTGCAATGGACAATGGCTTTGGGAGATATTTCTTATGATTGTGAAAATGATTTAGTAGTTTTAATCTACCTGTTTCGTCTACATGCAAGTAGCTGTTGTAGTACAGACTTTGTCCTGCACAGGTGATGTGGCACTGGATGTTCTTATTGGCTTCTGGACCATTGACATATTGGAATAGGACGCTATTGTTGATGACGGCACAAAGTGGGCAGCCCAATGATTCTACAACAAACAAACACATTGGAAACAACATGCAGATCCTTTCAGTCCGACGTAGTGAGTGAGTTTGGTTTAACGCCGCTTTTAAGAGTAATCTAGTTATATCCCCTGTCAGCTTAATGTGGGAGGAAAGCCCGAAGTGATGCAGGTCTCAGACGTTTACCATTTCGGTGAAACCTATGAGCGTTGGTAGCGTGCTGACAAACCCAGAAACATGGGCGAACCGGGATTCGAACCCACAATAATACGTTTCTGGTGTGTCCAAGGGACGCAGCTCTACAATTTTGTGGCACCTTAGGCGACTAGGCCACCCGTGTATCCCAATCCGATGAAATACTGTAAGCCTTAGGTGAGACGCATTCCAGGTTTTCAAAAAAGTATTTAACACAATTAGATTCCGAGGTATTTTTTCTCTTCTTCATGTGAAAACATCTGGAAATATATCGATTTTCTTTTAATGTTTGTTTGTTTTATTGTTAACGGTACTGAAGAGAGATTTGTCCAAATCTAACAAACATTTATATTGTAACCTCCGCCTGGGTCACTTGATATTATATCACGGTGTGTCAGCTTGATGTGGGAAGAACGCGCGAGGTGATGCAGATCTCAGGTACCAGTTCGGGGATACCCACGAGTACATGTAAGGTGATGACAAACCTTGAAAAATGTTTCAGGGCGAATCTGCGATTCTAACCCACAATCGTAGGTTTCTGGCACAACTAAGGGACGCCACTCTGCACAGCGTTTGCGGCGCGTTAGGCGACTGGGCAACCCGTGCAGAACTCTAAGGAAACTTACTTTCTGATATAGGTCCATCGTTGATGTACCATGTTGTGTTGGCTTCACAGATCCGGTTGTCTGACCACTTCGCGGCACAGATAAACGTCGCCTTGCCCCCTATTTCCACATCCTGGGGCACAGGTTGAGTCACCCACATATATTTAGCTGGAATATAAAAAGAAAAATCTTTAGAACATCGATTTGTTTTTTTTACGACATATTCATAAGAGATCGATATAATTCTGACTTAAAATAGGCATTCAATGAAATAGTGTTTGCTCGCGGGGTGCAACAGCGACAGTTTGGGCAGTCAGTGAAACCTTCAATATTTAATTCACTGTCACTTTGTCTTAACTACGAATGTATCATGTTTAATCTTCTGATGATGGGTTGAACTATGATGGCACTGTACACGTATCTAATTTAATCTGATTAATAATCTGATCTTAAATTTTATATATATATATATATATATATATATATATATATATATATACAAAAATGAGGTAAATGTTCACTCGGTGTACATGTAATATATAATAAAATAATAAAGTCCACGTTAGTCCATCATCTTCTTTATATCAGTTTCATACATAGTACTTTCGCTGTCTCATGACAGCTCTTCAGTGTAACTGACATATACATATAATGACGTCATACTTATGTATATGTCAGTTACACTGAAGAGCTGTCATGAGACAGCGAAAGTACTATGTATGAAACTGATATAAAGAAGATGATGGACTAACGTGGACTTTATTATTTTATTATATATATATATATATATATATATATAAAATGAGGTGCAACAACTACATTGTGTATACGGGCTTAATCTCAAATAGATTTGAAACAAATAGTTAATGAAACAAATAGTTAATGAAACAAATAGTGAATGAAACAAATACCTAATGAAACAAATACCTAATGAAACAAATAGCCACGCTCTATCCACTAGACCACAGAGACAGTCCCAAACCCTGGGGTAAATGAGGTCGCCCGGTTACAGGTGAGCACGGTTGGACCATGAGACCTGATTACGACAATCCACAGAGACCAAATAATAATCGACTCCGCACTCATTATTCGGAAAGACTTCCGCCCTTATCCCCCCCCCCCCCCCCCCCTCCCCCCACCCCACCCTCCCCTCTCTCCCCCTACCCTTCCAAAAGTTAAATATGTATGCAATGCCGCTCAATCCTTATTATCAAATATATTTTTAAGGAGGGATACGGGCGGAAGTCTTAACCCTTATTCATAGTACCTCACCTTGAATTGTTACTTCTTTTGTGCTATTGGCTGTGTGTCCACTCGAATTGCTACAAATGCACGTGTAATTTCCTGTGTCGCTGTGATCAACTTGACCAATGACCAGTCGCCTGTGGTACATGTCCGCAGTTGTGTTCAGTTTTGACTTCGTCGCCATGGGAACACTCCATGTTATATTAGGGTACGCTTTGTCTGGCCTTGAAAAAACAGGGCATATATTCTGTAGTGATTGACCTGACGAACATATTATATGCATTATAACATTCTGTACTGATTGACCTGACGAGGAAAGTATATGTATAACATTCTGTAGTGATTGACCTGACGAGCAAAGTATATGTATAACATTATGTAGCCATTGACCGGACGAGCAAAGTATTTGTATAACATTCTGTAGTGATTGAACTGACGAGCAAAGTATTTGTATAACATTCTGTAGTGATTGAACTGACGAGCAAAGTATTTGTATAACATTCTGTAGTGATTGAACTGACGAGCAAAGTATTTGTATAACATTCTGAAGTGTTTGACCTGACAAGCAAAGTATAGGTAAAACATTCTGTACTGATTGACCTGACGAGCAAAGTATATGTATAACATTTTTGTAGTGATTGACCTGACGAGCAAAGTATATGTACAACATTCTGTAGTGATTGAACTGACGAGCAAAGTACATGTATAACATTCTGTACTGATTGACCTGACGAGCAAAGTACATGTACAACATTCTGTACTGATTGACCTGACGATTAAGTTATGTTATATTTCCAGCCTGCTGCCACATAGATAGGAGATTGCTGTATGTGACGTTAATCTCAAACCAAAGAGTACTCACGGTCCTTGACAAAGACATTCAAGGGTCAGAGGGTCTCCGTACAGGGGTTGTTTCTGATAGGTCCACAAGGCTGCCTTTAAGTCTGAAGAAGATTGTTGTTGATAGGGCCACGGGGATGTCCAAAAGTCCGGAGGAAACAGGGTTGCCCGGGGGTCTGAAAAGACATTTACAACAATCTACAAATTGGAAGCACTGAATGGGATCAGGATAAAAACGGAATAGTTCAGTGCTGAAATCCAGGTTTTGTGGCATCTATGTATTGTTGCCATTCTCATAGTATGCATCTGAGTGTTGTACTTGATATGCTTCAGAGAGTGTAGTGCTGCTAGTGCTGCTAGTGCTGAGATATCTTAGTGATGTAGTCTTTGTAATTTAGAAATTCTGGAGCTGTAAATCTTGTTATGGTGACAGTTGTAATTGTAATGGTTTATTATAGTTTCTAATGTATGGCCAAGTCCCTGTTCCGTTGAAGTAACTATACATATAGACATCATTTCCATGTTTTATTCTTAACTACATGCTTTCCCAACCCGCAGACCAAACATTTCACAAATGTGGAAGAAAATCAATTATTTTTACGAAAATACTCCTTAACTGGACATGCTGGCTGTTCTGAAAATAATGTGTTCTGGCTAGTAATCTGTTGTGCTCCCCCATTTAAAGAAATGAAATTGTACGTTTTGAAGCTCTCAATATATTTCCGTCGTCTACATGGAGACGTGGCAATCAATTCACAGTATTAAAGAAGTTGTTATCCATAAAATTGTGTCTATCTTGTCATCCGTCAAAGTCTAAATAATACCTATCAAAGAATTTAATTCTGTCTGGAATAAGAAAAGGTCAGTCCCTAGAGTAAATGAGGTCGTTCCGTTTAATGTGAACACGACATTAACAGAAGGTTAAACTACGGAAAGCCACAGGGACCAAATACAAAATAATCTAAATCTTTCCCGAAGAAGGCTGAGTTTCAATCGACTCGACACTCAAAATTAACAGTACCTCATTTTGAATTGTTATTTCCATTGTGCTATTTATTAACTGTGTGTCTTTTGGTATGACGCAGCCGGGGATCGAACCACAAACCTTCCGCTCCCAAGGCTATCTACTAGACCATAGAGACAGTCCTAAACCCAGGAATATGAAATGATCAGTCCCTGGGTTAAATGAGGTCGCCCCATTATAGATGTGAGCGGTTCGACCATGGGGCCAGATTACGACAGTCCACAGAGACCAAATAATAATCGACTCCACACTCATTATTCGGAAAGACTTCCGCCCTTATCTTATCCCCCACCCCACCCCCCATCCCACCCGCCATTCTCCCCCCCTACCCTTCCAAAAGTTAAATATGTATGCATTGCCACACAATCCTTATGATCATATATATTTTTAAGTGGGGATACGGACAGAAGTCTTAACCATGATTCATAGTACCTCACCTTGAATTGTTACTTCTGTTGTGCTATTGACTGTGTGTCCACTCGAATTGCTACAAATGCACGTGTAATTTCCTGTGTCGCTGTGATCAACTTGACCAATGACCAGTCGCCTGTGGTACATGTCCGCAGTTGTGTTCAGTTTTGACTTCGTCGCCATGGGAACACTCCATGTTATATTAGGGTACACTGTGCCTGGCCTTGAAAAAACAGGGCATTTATTCTGTGGTGATTGACCTGACGAACATATTATATGCATTATAACATTCTGTACTGATTGATCTGACGAGGAAAGTATATGTATAACATTCTGTAGTGACTGAACTGACGAGCAAAGTATATCTATTACATTCTGTAGTGATTGAACAGACGAGCAAAGTATATGTATAACATTCTGTACTGATTGACCTGACGAGCAAAGTATATGTATAACATTCTGTACTGATTGAAGTGACAAGCAAAGTATATCTATTACATTCTGTACTGATTGAACAGACGAGCAAAGTATATGTATAACATTCTGTACTGATTGAAGTAACGAGCAAAGTATATGTATAACATTCTGTAGTGATTGACCTGACGAGCAAAGTATATGTATAACATTCTGTACTGATTGACCTGACGAGCAAAGTATAAGTATAACATTCTGTAGTGATTGGCCTGACGAGCAAAGTATATCTTTAACATTCTGTAGTGATTGACCTGACGAGCAAAGTATATGTATAACATTCTGTACTGATTGAAGTGACAAGCAAAGTATATCTATTAATTCTGTACTGATTGAACAGACGAGCAAAGTATATGTATAACATTCTGTACTGATTGACCTGACGAGCAAAGTCTATGTATAACATTCTGTACTGATTGAAGTGACAAGCAAAGTATATCTATTACATTCTGTACTGATTGAACAGACGAGCAAAGTATATGTATAACATTCTGTACTGATTGAAGTAACGAGCAAAGTATATGTATAACATTCTGTAGTGATTGACCTGACGAGCAAAGTATATGTATAACATTCTGTACTGATTGACCTGACGAGCAAAGTATAAGTATAACATTCTGTAGTGATTGGCCTGACGAGCAAAGTATATCTTTAACATTCTGTAGTGATTGACCTGACGAGCAAAGTATATGTATAACATTCTGTACTGATTGAAGTGACAAGCAAAGTATATCTATTACATTCTGTACTGATTGACCTGACGAGCAAAGTATATGTATAACATTCTGTACTGATTGAAGTGAGAAGCAAAGTATACCTATTACATTCTGTACTGATTGAACAGACGAGCAAAGTATATGTATAACATTCTGTACTGATTGAACTGACAAGCAAAGTAAATCTATGACATTCTGTAGTGATTGAACTGACGAGCAAAGTATATGTATAACATTCTGTACTGATTGACCTGACGAGCAAAGTATATGTATAACATTCTGTACTGATTGAAGTGACAAGCAAAGTATATCTATTACATTCTGTACTGATTGAACAGACGAGCAAAGTATATGTATAACATTCTGTACTGATTGAAGTAACGAGCAAAGTATATGTATAACATTCTGTACTGATTGAAGTGACAGGCAAAGTATATCTATTACATTCTGTACTGATTGAACTGACAAGCAAAGTATATGTATAACATTCTGTACTGATTGAAGTGACAAGCAAAGTATATCTATTACATTCTGTAGTGATTGAACAGACGAGCAAAGTATATGTATAACATTCTGTACTGATTGACCTGACGAGCAAAGTATATGTATAACATTCTGTACTGATTGAAGTGACAAGCAAAGTATATCTATTACATTCTGTACTGATTGAACAGACGAGCAAAGTATATGTATAACATTCTGTACTGATTGAAGTAACGAGCAAAGTATATGTATAAAATTCTGTACTGATTGAAGTGACAGGCAAAGTATATCTATTACATTCTGTACTGATTGAACTGACAAGCAAAGTATATGTATAACATTCTGTACTGATTGAAGTGACGAGCAAAGTATATGTATAACATTCTGTACTGATTGACCTGACGAGCAAAGTATACGTATAACATTCTGTACTGATTGAAGTGACGAGCAAGGTATATGTATCACATTCTGTACTGATTGAAGTGACGAGCAAAGTATATGTATAACATTCTGTACTGATTGAAGTGACAAGCAAAGTATATCTATTACATTCTGTACTGATTGAACTGACAAGCAAAGTATATGTATAACATTCTGTAGTGATTGAACTGACGAGCAAAGTATATGTATAACATTCTGTACTGATTGAAGTGACAAGCAAAGTATATCTATTACATTCTGTACTGATTGACCTGACGAGCAAAGTATATGTATAACATTCTGTACTGATTGAAGTGACAAGCAAAGTATATGTATAACATTCTGTACTGATTGAAGTGACAAGTAAAGTATATGTATTACATTCTGTACTGATTGAACAGACGAGGAAAGTATATGTATAACATTCTGTACTGATTGAACTGACAAGCAAAGTAAATCTATTACATTCTGTAGTGATTGAACTGACGAGCAAAGTATGTATGACATTCTGTACTGATTGCCCTGACGAGCAAAGTATATGTATAACATTCTGTACTGATTGAAGTGACGAGCAAGGTATATGTATAACATTCTGTACTGATTGCACTGACAAGCAAAGTAAATCTATGACATTCTGTAGTGATTGAACTAACGAGCAAAGTATATGTATAACATTCTGTACTGATAGACCTGACAGGCAAAGTATATGTATAAGATTCTGTACTGATTGAAGTGACAAGCAAAGTATATCTATTACATTCTGTACTGATTGAACAGACGAGCAAAGTATATGTATAACATTCTGTACTGATTGAAGTGACAAGCAAAGTATATCTATTACATTCTGTACTGATTGAACTGACGAGCAAAGTATATGTATAACATTCTGTAGTGATTGAAGTGACGAGCAAAGTATATGTATAACATTCTGTAGTGATTGAGCTGACGAGCAAAGTATATGTATAACATTCTGTACTGATTGAACTGACAAGCAAGGTATATGTTTAACATTCTGTACTGATTGAAGTAACGAGCAAAGTATATGTATAACATTCTGTACTGATTGAACTGACAAGCAAAGTAAATCTATGACATTCTGTAGTGATTGAACCAACGAGCAAAGTATAAGTATAACATTCTGTACTGATAGACCTGACGAGCAAAGTATATGTATAACATTCTGGACTGATTGAAGTGACAAGCAAAGTATATCTATTACATTCTGTACTGATTGAACAGACGAGCAAAGTATATGTATAACATTCTGTAATGATTGACCTAACGAGCAAAGTATATGTATAACATTCTCTACTGATTGAAGTGACGAGCAAAGTATATCTATAACATTCTGTACTGATTGACCTGACGAGCAAAGTATATGTATTACATTCTGTACTGATTGAACTGACGAGCAAGGTATATGTATAACATTCTGTACTGATTGAAGTAACGAGCAAAGTATATGTATAACATTCTGTACTGATTGAACTGACAAGCAAAGTAAATCTATGACATTCTGTAGTGATTGAACTAACGAGCAAAGTATATGTATAACATTCTGTACTGATAGACCTGACGAGCAAAGTATATGTATAAGATTCTGTACTGATTGAAGTGACAAGCAAAGTATATCTATTACATTCTGTACTGATTGAACAGACGAGCAAAGTATATGTATAACATTCTGTACTGATTGAAGTGACGAGCAAAGTATATGTATAACATTCTGTACTGATTGAAGTGACAAGCAAAGTATATCTATTACATTCTGTACTGATTGACCTGACGAGCAAAGTATATGTATAACATTCTGTAGTGATTGAAGTGACGAGCAAAGTATATGTATAACATTCTGTACTGATTGAAGTAACGAGCAAAGTATATGTATAACATTCTGTACTGATTGAACTGACAAGCAAAGTAAATCTATGACATTCTGTAGTGATTGAACTAACGAGCAAAGTATATGTATAACATTCTGTACTGATTGACCTGACGAGCAAAGTATATGTATAACATTCTGTACTGATTGAAGTGACAAGCAAAGTATATGTATAACATTCTGTACTGATTGAAGTGACAAGCAAAGTATATCTATTACATTCTGTACTGATTGAAGTGACAAGCAAAGTATATGTATAACATTCTGTACTGATTGAAGTGACAAGCAAAGTATATCTATTACATTCTGTACTGATTGAACTGACGAGCAAAGTATATGTATACCATTCTGTACTGATTGAACTGACAAGCAAAGTATATCTTTAACATTCTGTACTGATTGAAGTAACGAGCAAAGTATATGTATAACATTCTGTACTGATTGAACTGACAAGGAAAGTAAATCTATGACATTCTGTAGTGATGAACTGACGAGCAAAGTATATGTATAACATTCTGTAGTGATTGAACTGACGAGCAAAGTATATGTATAACATTCTGTAGTGATTGAACTGACGAGCAAAGTATATGTATAACATTCTGTAGTGATTGAACTGAAGAGCAAGGTATATGTATAACATTCTGAAGTGTTTGAACTGAAGAGCAAAGTATATGTATAACATTCTGTAGTGTTTGAAGTAACGAGCAAAGTATATGTATAACAATTTGTACTGATTGACCTAAAGAGCAAAGTACATGTACAACATTCTGTAGTGCTTGACGTGACGATTAAGGTATGTTCTATTTCTAGCCTGCTGCCATATAGATAGGAGATTGCTGTATGTGACGTTAATATTAAACCTAACAATACTCACGGTCCTTGACAAAGACATTCAAGGGTCAGAGGGTCTCCGTACAGGGGTTGTTTCTGATAGGTCCACAAGGCTGCCTTTAAGTCTGAAGAAGATTGTTGTTGATAGGGCCACGGGGATGTCCAAAAGTCCGGAGGAAACAGGGTTGCCCGGGGGTCTGAAAAGACATTTACAACAATCTACAAATTGGATGCATTGAATGGGATCAGGATAAAAACGGAATAGTTCAGTGCTGAAATCCAGGTTTTGTGTCATGTTCGTGTTGTTACCATTCTCATAGTGTGCATTTGAGTGTTGTAATTGATATGCTTCAGACAGCGTGGTGGTGCTAATCCTGTTCTCGACATATCCTAGTGCTGTAGTCATTGTTATTTAAAAATCCTAGTGCGGTAAATCTGGTGACATTTTAGTTGTACCTGTAATGGTATAAGATGTTTTCTAATGTCTGTCTTTTCCAAGTCTCTGTTCCGTGCCACGCCCACCATAAACATAGAAATTAATTCCATGTTTTATTCTTAACTACATGCTTTCCCAACCCGCGGACCAAACATTTCACAAATGTGAAAGAAAATCAAAATTGATAACGAAAACACTCCTTAACGTGAAGAAGATTTAACGTTGAGGTTAGAGTACGGAAGTCCACAGGGACCAAATTCTAAATACTGCAAATCCTTCCCGAAAAAGGATGAGTTATAATCGACTCGCCACTCAACTTACGAAACTCAAATACAGAATAAACGTTTTCCATCCCAAATTTGACCCGTGAAGATCCGGGGTAGAATAGGTCTTCAGCAACCCATGTTTGCCCTAAAAGGCGACTATGCTTGTCGTAAGAGGCGATTAACGGCATCGGGTAGTCAGATTCGCTGATTTAGTTGATGCATGTCATCGTATCCAAATTGCGTTGATCGATGCTCATGATGCCAATCACTGGATTGTGCGGTCCAGACTCGATTAGTTACAGACCACCGTCATATAGCTGGAATATTGCAGAGTGCGGCGGAAAACAAGAACAAACAAAACAAACCTATTGATGTAGTCAGATGGTTGTAGGTTTTTGTAGATGGACGCCTCGTCGTTGTGGTGTGGTCAGGATTTGGCCATTGATCAGTCCCAGGAACCAGAGGTGATGTCTGCGGACGGGAACCAGGGCACTTTTCAGTCTCAGCAAGAAGATATCCAAGAGTTGTTTGCAAATAACCGATGTTGCAATATTGGCGAATCGACAGTGTTGTATTGCTTGTAAAAGGTGTGACCTGACCTCCAGTATACTTTGTTTCGCAAGTGTAAAAGCCAGTGTCATTGTCGTTGACATTCACTATATGGAGTTTTCCTGAAAAAACAGAAATGAAAAATATCACACTCGAAGAACCGGACACAGTTCACGTTGTGTTAATCCCCCTGATCAAGGACCTTTATGAGAGTGAGTGAGTGAGTGAGTGAGTCAAAGTGAGTGAGTGAGTCAAAGTGAGTGAGTGAGTGAGTGAGTGAGTGAGTGAGTGAGTGAGTGAGTGAGTGAGTGAGTGAGTGAGTGAGTGAATGAGTGAGTGAGTGATTGAGTGAGTGAGATCACGGCGCTTTGTTTCGGTAATATCAGTCAGTAAGTTTAAGGTGGGAAGAACGAAAAGTGACACAAGAAGGACGACCAACAAAGACTCGTAATAAAATCAAATGTTTGATTGAAACCTACGATCAGAAACCTAAGAGAGTATGCCAGTCTTAGAAAGAGAAGCAACAAATGACCTGAGGACACTGAGGACACCTGCTAGGACACTGAGATACCATGCCGCAGTTTAAAATAAATATCCCATTCAGACACAGTAAACTGACTCCGAGCCGACCAGTCCTTGTGTTAACCTCTTAACGCCGAGGGCAAGACAGGGTAACAACAAGAACCATCTTTCGACGTATTTTGGCATGATGCGGCCGTGGATCGAACCCGGACCTTCCGTACTCCGAGCGGATACTCGGTAAATAATATAAATCTGATATAATGTCCCCTCGAAAAAATATATAATTCTGTTTTTAAATATTCACACTGCTTAACTGTTGTCATTAAAGCACTGACCGCCATCATATAGAGTGCGGCGTTACACAATTAACAAACAAACAAACATTAAAGCAATGGACAAACATTTGGGACCGAGCGTTTGATATTTTGGGGGCGAGGGTGTGCGTGTGCGTGTTTGTGTGTGTGTATGTGTATGTGTATGTGTATGTGTGTGTGTATGTGTATGCGTATGCGTATGCGTATGTGTATGTGTATGTGTATGTGTATGCGTATGCGTATGCGTATGCGTATGTGTATGTGTATGCGTATGCGTATGCGTATGCGTATGTGTATGTGTATGTGTATGTGTGCGTGTGCGTGTGTGCGTGTGCGTGTGCGTGTATGTGTATGTGTATGTGTATGTGTATGTGTATGTGTTTGTGTATGTGTATGTGTATGCGTATGCGTATGCGTATGCGTATGCGTATGTGTTTGTGTATGTGTATGTGTATGTGTATGTGTTTGTGTATGTGTATGTGTATGCGTATGCGTATGCGTATGCGTATGCGTATGCGTATGCGTATGTGTATGTGTTTGTGTATGTGTATGTGTATGTGTATGTGTATGTGTTTGTGTATGTGTATGTGTATGTGTATGTGTTTGTGTATGTGTTTGTGTATGTGTATGTGTATGTGTATGTGTATGTGTTTGTGTATGTGTATGTGTATGTGTATGTGTATGTGTATGTGTATGTGTTTGTGTATGTGTATGTGTATGTGTATGTGTATGTGTATGTGTATGTGTATGTGTATGTGTTTGTGTATGTGTATGTGTATGTGTATGTGTATGTGTATGTGTATGTGTGTGTTAGGGGGTTTGGCACCAGAATGGGCTTCACACAGTGTACCCTTATGGAAATCTGGTCTTCGGTGTCTCGAGCAAATGCTGTAACCATTAGGCTACCAGGCAACCGCCTAGGCTTGACCATGTGAGTACAGCAAACTACGGTTATCACGAACTCTAATTTTAGTTCGTCATAACCGTAGTTCGTAATAAGCATATATGCAGCATATATACAACAAATGGCCGCGACTAAAGATGAGTTCGTTTTATTGATCAGTTCGTTATAAGCGTGTTCGTTATAAACGTAGTTCACTGTATTTTGCATGTTTCAGTCATGAAGGAGGAAGGGAAGTATTAGTTGCTGGCACAAACCTTTCACGTCAATGTAATGCCGCTCGTCGACAGGGACTTCTTTTGACCGGAACGTCCACGAGTAGTGGGGCATCGCCCCTTCCCTGACCGGCCAGCACTGCAGGGTCGTGTGGTGTCCAGTGCACACGTGACATCTTGCTTCCAAGGACTGGCGCCCAGGGATGCCTGATAATCATCACGCAACATTTGTTTTGTATTCTTACGCATGGCTAGGAGTGAGTGTGGTTTTACGCCGCTTTTAGCAATATTCCAGCAATATCACGGCGGGGGACACCAGAAATGGGCTTCACACAATGTACCCGGGTCTTCGGCGTGACGAGCGAACGCTTTAACTACAAGGCTATCCGACCGCCCCGCATGGCTAGGAAGTGGAAGTCAAACAGTAAGTGCGTTTGATAATATAACAATCAAGATAATTGAGGTTACCGCTTTTCTGGCAACCAGTGCTGAAATTAAAAGTTTTATAGTTATTTGATTATTGTACGTCAAATTATTGTTTTAGCGATTGAAATAACCAGACCGCGGGATGCCATAATATCGTGATCGTTAATTGGTTGATTTCATACGTACAAACTAATCAGAAATGAACCGAAAAGAATTAGGCCACGCCCATTAACGGAATACTGTTTCCAGATTTGCTGATAATAGAATGGGTGGGGCTTGTGTTGTATTATTGCACTGAATGAAGTCACAGATTTCGTATTGTTGTCGGAATGATCTTGTGTTAATGATTAGTAAGTGAATGGAGGCAGGTCTCAGGCGCTTACCACTTTGGTGAAACCCACGAGCACGGGTATGGTGCTGACAAACCTAGAAACATAATCAGGGCGAACTGGGATTCGAACCCCTAATCATAGGTTTCTGGCGTGCCCAAGGACGCAACTCTGCACAGCGAATTGCGGCTCCATAGAGGACTGGGCCACCCGTGCCCCCTTAATGATTAGATACGAAGCTTGTGAAGTTGTCATTGTTGAAGTATATATTTTTTAAGAATTTACTTCAATATGTTTTTCGACACTGCAAATGATGGCGCCCTAGATGACTGGGTCACTCGTACCGACCTACAATATAACACTGTTTCAAACAAAATGTATGAGAAAATAAGAATCGGCACGAAACAACTGGAATATGAACAATAACATTACGTTTTTGTATCAACAAACGCCGTGTGATCATCACGACTGCCTGTTCTTTCGTGCTGAACTTGACCTATATTTGAAGGTCACTGACTGAATGCGAGGGGTGGCTGAAAGGTTCTCAGTCTAACTACTGAATTGATAGGTGAGGTGAGGTGAAATTGGGTTTAACGTCGCGTCAAAGATTATTGCACTTATATAGCGACGTGCATGCACGTGTATGTGTGTGTGTGGCTGCTTGTACTAGTCCGGACTGATGCCGATTTATAGTGCTAGCTCACTGAGATACCATGCCGCAGTTTAACATGAATACCCCACTCAGACACAGTATACTGACTCCGAGCCGACCAGTCCTTGTTTTAGCCCCTTAATGCCGAGCGCCAGACAGGGTAACAACAAATACAATCTTTTAACGTCTTTTTGTATGACGCGGCCCGGGATCGAACCCTGGACCTTCCGCTCTCCGGGCGGACGCTCTACCACAAGACCACGGAGCTGAATTGATAGAGTTGATTGAGTTGATAGAGTTGGTTGCTAACTACTTTTTCAACATAATCCTCCCCGAGGCCTACGCACTTCCGCAGCCAACGATGCTTGAGTGCCCAGATCCCACTGTAAAAGGCTTCCTCCTAGTGATGTAGAAAGTCCTCCCGATCAGCTGTAGCCAGGGTTTTCAATGGAGCGCCCAGCACAAGCACAAGGCTATGGGTTCGGTTTCAACAGCATGTGTCAACACGTGATCGGCCAAGGTCTGGACGACCAAGAGTAACGACTCCCGCCAATGATCGCTACATCCGACTTCGCCACCTACGTGAAAGGACGACCACAGCTACCTCAACCGCATCCCAAATACCCGGACTCAGACCAGACAGTACGAAACCGTTTAAGAGCAGCAGGTCTTCGAGCAAGACGTCCTTTTCGACGCGTCATACTGAGTCGACAACATCGTCAATAACGACTGCATTGATGTCGTCAACAAATGAGTACGCCTTAACTGCGATGGAGAAATGTCTGGTTCAGAATCGAGGGGATGGAAGGGCACGGGTCTACAGACGTCGGGGAGAACGTTACGCCGGAAACTGCATACAGGAAGTGGACAGGTTTGGTGAGGGTAGCGTTATAATGTGGGCGGCTATCTCTCATCATGGCAGGACAAGATTGGTCCATATCCAGGACATTCTTACGGCTCAGCGAGACATCAACGAAATTCTCCTACCACACGTCCTCCCAATTGCAGCCAACGGCAACGGTGTACGCCAGCAGGACAACGCTCGACCCCATACAACACGGATCACAAGAGCCTGTCTACACAACAACGTTTATGTTCTCCCCTGGCCCCTCAGATCCAAGAATTGAACACGATAGAGCATACGTGGGTTGATTTGCGTTGCAGGCCGAGTGGGAAACCATTCCCCAGGTTTTGATTCGCATACTCCTCTCTTCCATGGGCAGGAGATGTCAGGCCGCTATCGATTCCAACGGGGGACCTACGCGTTATTGATGGCAGTTGACCTTCACCTTGGATGAGTATAGTCACCAAGTGTTCACTCCACAACATTTTGGCTCAATACCTTGTACGGTCCCTCGTATAAACGCATTTTCCTACCTCACACAAATCTGGCTTTGTGTTTCTTTTTTGAAGAGTATAACTGCACCATTCACTCACTTCGTGATACTCACAAACATGCCTGACATGGATGTTGTCACTTCTAGCTGTGCCATACTGGTTCTCAGCCACGCACTGATAAGTGCCCTCAGTCACGTTCTGGAAAACTCCCTGGCTGGACGTGGTCATGGTGAGTGTAGTTCTCCTCTGGCTCAACTTTACCCTAGAAAGCAATGTTAAGTGTAGTTCTCATCTGGCTCAAATTTACCCTAGAAAGCAATGTTAAGCGTAGTTCTCATCTGGCTCAACTTTACCCTAGAAAGCAATGTCAAGTGTAGTTCTCATCTGGCTCAACTTTACCCTAGAAAGCAATGTTAAGTGTAGTTCTCAGCTGGCTCAAATTTACCCTAGAAAGCAATGTTAAGTGTAGTTCTCATCTGGCTTAACTTTACCCTAGAAAGCAATGTTAAAAGAAGTTCTCATCTGGCTTAACTTTACCCTAGAAAGCAATGTTAAGTGTAGTTCTCATCTGGCTCAACTTTACCCTAGAAAGCAATGTTAAGTGAAGTGTTCATCTGGCTCAACTGTACCCTAGAAAGCAATGTTAAGTGTAGTTCTCATCTGGCTCAACTTTACCCTAGAAAGCAATGTTAAGTGTAGTTCTCATGTGGCTCAACTTAACCCTAGAAAGCAATGTTAAGTGTAGTTCTCATGTGGCTCAACTTTACCCTAGAAAGCAATGTTAAGTGAAGTGTTCATCTGGCTCAACTGTACCCTAGAAAGCAATGTTAAGTGTAGTTCTCATCTGGCTCAACTTTACCCTAGAAAGCAGTGTTAAGTGAAGTGTTCATCTGGCTCAACTGTACCCTAGAAAGCAATGTTAAGTGTAGTTCTCATCTGGCTCAACTTTACCCTAGAAAGCAATGTTAAGTGTAGTTCTCATCTGGCTCAACTTTACCATAGAAAGCAATGTTAAGTGTAGTTCTCATCTGGCTTAACTTTACCCTAGAAAGCAATGTTAAGTGTAGTTCTCATTTGGCTCAACTTTACCCTAGAAAGCAATGTTAAGTGTAGTTCTCATCTGGCTTAACTTTACCCTAGAAAGCAATGTTAAGTGTAGTTCTCATCTGGCTTAACTTTACCCTAGAAAGCAATGTTAAATGTAGTTCTCATCTGGCTTAACTTTACCCTAGAAAGCAATGTTAAGTGTAGTTCTCATCTGGCTTAACTTTACCCTAGAAAGCAATGTTAAGTGTAGTTCTCATCTGGCTTAACTTTACCCTAGAAAGCAATGTTAAGTGTAGTTCTCAGCTGGCTCAACTTTACCCTAGAAAGCAATGTTAAGTGTAGTTCTCAGCTGGCTCAACTTTACCCTAGAAAGCAATGTTAAGCGTAGTTCTCATCTGGCCCAACTTTACCCTAGAAAGCAATGTTAAGTGTAGTTCTCATGTGGCTCAACTTTACCCTAGAAAGCAATGTTAAGTGAAGTGTTCATCTGGCTCAATTGTACCCTAGAAAGCAATGTTAAGTGTAGTTCTCATCTGACTCAACTTTACCCTAGAAAGCAATGTTAAGTGTAGTTCTCATCTGGCTCAACTTTACCATAGAAAGCAATGTTAAGTGTAGTTCTCATCTGGCTTAACTTTACCCTAGAAAGCAATGTTAAGTGTAGTTCTCATTTGGCTCAACTTTACCCTAGAAAGCAATGTTAAGTGTAGTTCTCATCTGACTCAACTTTACCCTAGAAAGCAATGTTAAGTGTAGTTCTCATCTGGCTTAACTTTACCCTAGAAAGCAATGTTAAATGTAGTTCTCATCTGGCTTAACTTTACCCTAGAAAGCAATGTTAAGTGTAGTTCTCATCTGGCTTAACTTTACCCTAGAAAGCAATGTTAAATGTAGTTCTCATCTGGTTTAACTTTACCCTAGAAAGCAATGTTAAGTGTAGTTCTCATCTGGCTTAACTTTACCCTAGAAAGCAATGTTAAGTGTAGTTCTCATCTGGCTCAACTTTACCCTAGAAAGCAATGTTAAGTGTAGTTCTCAGCTGGCTCAACTTTACCCTAGAATGCAATGTTAAGTGTAGTTCTCATCTGGCTTAACTTTACCCTAGAAAGCAATGTTAAGCGTAGTTCTCATCTGGCCCAACTTTACCCTAGAAAGCAATGTTAAGTGTAGTTCTCATCTGCCTCAACTTTACCCTAGAAAGCAATGTTAAGTGTAGTTCTCATCTGCCTCAACTTTACCCTAGAAAGCAGTGTTAAGTGTAGTTCTCATCTTGCTCAAATTTACCCTAGAAAGCAATGTCAAGTGTAGTTCTCATCTGCCTCAACTTTACCCTAGAAAGCAATGTTAAGTGTAGTTCTCATTTGGCTTAACCTTACCCTAGAAAGCAATGAAACGTGAGTGAGTTGGGATACTTTGAACAGTATTCCAGTTATATCACTGCGTGTAAGCTTATTGTGGGAGGAAAGCCCGACGTGATGAAGGTCATAGGCAGATGCATAGGCATGCTTGAAACAAGGTCAACACAAGGTCACGTTGCAAACGTCTTTGGCCAAAGTGTGATCAGCAGGGCATGGAATCGATACCAGACGTTTGGATCATCTCCCCCGCGACATGCAGATGGTCGACAGCGTTCCCCCACTCAGCGGGAAAACATGTTTCTCCTGCTCGCAGCAAGACGTCATCAGTTCGTGACTGCCACCACAGTCAGAAATGAGTGGCATTCACGTTTCCACTCAGACAGTGCGTAATCGACGTCGTGAAGCTTGCCTCCGGTCACTGCATTCGCATCCCACTGACCCGGGATCCACGTTTGGATTGGGCTGAAGATCACGCGGGGTTGTAACGAATTTCCTACCTAACCATTAAATATTGTGAAGTAAAATGTATTAATTTATCTTATTCTGATGAATGACTTTCTATATACGATTTTATATCAAGTGTTATATTTTATTGTTTGTGTACGTGTTTTAGTATGAAGTGTATTAAACATGGGACACTATAATAAACATAACTCTCTCCGGTGGGCTACTCACGTGGGTCTTGGGTTTCCGTTCGCTTCGCAGTTGACTTGGGCACCCTCACCAGAGTAAAACACCTGCGTTGGGCCAATAGTAGGGTCGGGATTAACGAAAGATGGCGGGGCCATACCTTGGGATAGAGAAGAGAGAGGTAATGTGAGAAACCAGAATATCAGTTTCAGAAGCTCACCTTTATTAGATGTTATAGAGTGAGTGAGTGAGTTGGTTTAACTCCACTTTGATCAGCATTCCAGTAATATCACGGCGTGTCAGCTTTATGTGGATGGAATCCCCGAAGTGATGCAGAGCATTTACCACTTTGGTGAAACGGGTATGATTTTGTTGGTTGGTTGGTTTGTTGTTTAACGCCGCACTCAGCTATATTCCAGCTATATGACGGCGGTCTGTAAATAATGGAGTCTGGACCAGACAGGCCAGTGATTGATATCATGAGCATCGATCCACGCAGTTTGGATTAATGACATGCATCATTCAAATCAGCGAGCCTGACCACCCGATCCCGTTAGTCGCCTCTTACGACAAGCATAATCGCCTTTTACGGCAAGAATGGGTTGCTGAAGACCTATTCTATCCCGGATCTTCACGGGTCAGCACTAGACACTTGAGCCGAATCGGAATTCGAACACGTGGTGATAGGTTTGTGGCGTGCTCAACACAGCACGGCAAATTGCGGCGCCTGGGCCAGTCGTGCCCCCACTGCACGTGACAGGGGAGGATGTGCTTGACTAAAACCATTCTTCCCAACACTGCAATTTTTTATTGATGTTATTCGTGTTTTCATAATATCACCATGTATTTTGTATGGGCTGTATACTCAATAAAATCCGAAAACACATCATGTTTATCCCCCGAGTGATGATTTTCTTCAATGGCCTCACCATTTCAGTGCTGTTTATCTTTACTACTGATGTAAAACAATGACTGCGAAGTGTAATTCAACAGTGATTCCTGATACATATTATTAATAAAATCAACATTTTTCAAGACGAAAAAAATGGTTGTAACGGGCGAGCTAATAGATCGGGTGGCCAGGCTCGTAGACTTGGTTGATTGCGTGTCAACGTTGCTTACAATATCGATCACTGGGTTGTCTGGTCCAGACCCGATTATTAAAGCCGTCTTGAGTTTGGACTATTACTGAGTGCGGCGTTAAGCACCAAATGAACAAACAACAAACGTATAAAAAAACAAATTGTTCCAGAAAATGCTTGCAAAAATATTATGCTTCAGACTGTTGAACAAAATGAATGTCATGAACAATATATTGTTGTAAGATGTTTGAAAAATAAATAAATTTAGGCTCTTAGTTTTCTCTAAAAAATAACTCGTTTTGCTCCTGTAGTTCGGTAACCATGGTGTTTAGGGCAAACATTCACCTGTGTCATTGTCTAATAGTATTGGGGGGCACAGGTGGCCCAGTCGTCTAAGGCGCCGCGATTCGCTTTGCAGAGTTGCATCCCTTGGGCACGCCAGAAACCTATGATTGTGGGTTCGAATCCCGGTTCGCCCCGATTATGTTTCTAGGTTTGTCAGCACAATACCCGTGCTCGTGGGTTTCACCGAAGTGGTAAACGTCTGAGACCTGCATCACTTCGGGCTTTCCTCCCACATTAAGCTGACACGCCGTGATATAACTGGAATACTGTTAGAAGCGGCGTTAAACCCAACTCACTCACTCTAATAGTATTGAGGGGCGGTCGGGTAGCCCAGAGTTTAAAGCGTTCGCTCGTCACGCGGAAGACCCAGGTTCGATTCCCGACATGGGTTCTATGTGTGAAGCCAATTTCTGGTGTCCCCTGACGTGATATTGCTGGAATATTGCTAAAAGCGGCGTAAAACATACTCACTCACTCACTCCAACAGTATTGAGATTGAAACATTGATTTTGGACTCACCTTGTCCCTCACTTCGTCCGCTCGACACAGCAACGACGCACAGCAACAGCAGCGGCTGCATCGTTGTCTGCTTGGCACAAATACAACAGAGTGACAGTAACATCACAAAAACCCGGTCACTGCATCGGATTCGAGGGGATTTTTGTAAAACTGTTGGAGTGCTGCAATAGTATATCAATCCACGGAATCTATAAGCTGGCTACAATGTTCGGAATCTATAAACCGGCTTCAATGCTTGTAATCTATAAACCGGCTTCAATGCTCGGAATCTATAAACCGGCTTCAATGCTCTTGATCTATAAACCGGCTTCAATGCTCTGAATCTATAAACCGGCTTCAATGCTCTGAATCTATAAACCGGTTTCAATACTCGGAATCTATACACCAGCTTCAATACTCGGAATGTATAAACCGGGTTCCATTATCAGAACCTTTGCTCAATGCTCAGAATCTATCATTTGTTTACTTGTTTTTAACGCCGCACTCAGCAATATTCCAGCTATATGACGGCGGTCTGTAAATTATCGAGTCTGGACCAGACAATCCAGTGATTGACATCATGATCATCGATCCACGCAATTGGGATACGATGACATGCATCAACCAAGTCAGCGAGCCTGACCACCCGATCCCGTTAGTCACCTCTAACGACAAGCATAGTCGCCTTTAACGGCAAGCATGGGTTGCTGAAGACCCATTCCACCCAAGATGTTCACGGATCTCGACAGAAGGTGCAAGACTTGGCTTATTATGTGTCACCTTACCCCTTGGGCATGAGTAGTAGTAGTGGTTTATTTCAGTAAATCAGGCCACAGGCCAATTTTACAATATATATATTCAAGCATTCAAACATGTTGCACCACAAGTGCATGTAGTAAAATCAATACTAATCAGTACAAGGGTATCTGAGACCATATACTTATGGTGGTAGAATTAATAGTTTATATAATGGACAACTGCTTGCTCCTCATTTTAAGAGCAAAGAATGTAAACTTGGCAAGATTATTAATTGTAAAAGCATTACTGGTGGTAAATAAAACTTTACATTTATGCTCTGATGGAGATGTATAATAATATCTTGGCAGAAAGTTTCTTCTTAGATCGTCATAAAACGGACAAACTAAACAAACACGGTATTCTGTTTCTACATTTGGAATGATACAAAATGGACAAAGTCTTTCACATTTTTGAATACCTAACTTTCTACCCTGTGATACCATAATATCACTGCTCGACGTGCGAAACTGTGAGAGAGTAATCCTAAATGCAGCAAAATTCACAGCACTTAAATAATTTTCATATTCATTTGATAGCTTTATGTTTTATACAAATACAATGAAGATAATTTGTCAAAAGATTCAAAGAGACACTGGTTATCATGAGTTATAGCTATGGCGAAGACAAGGAGAAAGAATTCAGATAATTTACAAGCCAAATGTAGAGACTCGAACCAAGACCAGTTTGATCCGAGGTCAAACACCTTGTCCACATGACCAAAGATGCTAACCCCGTCAAAGAAGACGCCATTTGTGGGATGACTCCAGCAAGTCGACAAGACAAGGATGCCATCCACTTCCTACTACAAAGGTTACTTACCACGACTGGACTTTATCACCTCTGTTTTCTCTACACTTCTGTCGTGTACGACGGGACGACCATCACACATAGCATGCAACGAAAATGTTCACAATAAGCAATAACATTCAATCGTCATCGATGTTGGAAAGGATTAAGATGGCTCACCACGCCAGAATGGCATTTGTCATTAACGGAACCCGAGGCCAAAAAAGAAGTACCATGTTTCTGGTCCTTGGTTTTGTGCGGTTTTCCCGTTTGCATAATACACCAACACGAACGCTGGTGGAAAAAACTGCCAAGTTTTTATCGGTATTAAAATACATTTTTTCGCAGCAATACATACATGATCAGTGGATTGATGCCCAAATGGTGTTTTAATACCTGCATCAACTTCACCCCATACAACCTGCATACACACTACATACATCGTTCGTCATGTGGAATTGGTACTTTCATTTCTGGTAAAACAGGTTAAAATTACATGTCCTTGGTTAAAACTCCAGAAAATAAAAAAACCTCAAAGCGAGGGTGGAAAATGTTTGTTTGTTGTTTAACAAATCACTCAGCATTGTTCCAGCTATGTGCATCAACCAAGTCAGTGAGCCTGACCACCCGATCCCGTTAGTCGCCTCTTACGAAAAACACAGTCGCCTTTCAGCGCAAGCATGGGTTGCTGAAGACCTATTCTACCCCGGATGTTCACGGGTAGGGGGAAGGGGTGGAAAATTAAGACCAGAAACATGATAAATATTGTTGTGGCCTTTCGTTCCGAGGATCATGCCATTGTCGACTGATGTCAGCGTAGTATTGAAGAGCACCGCAAACAACATTAGTCAACGTCACGATGCTTTTCCACAGAACCCGCACACCTAAAACAACTCACGTAATCACAGGCTTAGCTATTTATTTGTCAAACAGTGCTCGTGGTGACTATCCCGGGATGACTACAGTGATCTGGTAAAACCAATCATCAACTTGGAGCTGCAAAATGTCAAACTTCCATGTGCTAGCGTGGCTATAGAATTTGACCGCCTCCGTGGTCTGGTGGATAGAGTTGCCTTCGATCCCCGGCCGCGTCATACCAAAAGACGTTAAAAGATGGCCCCTGTTGTTACCCTGTCTGGCGCTCGGCATTTAGGCGCTAAAGACAAGGACTGGTTAGCTCGGAGTTAGTATACTGTGTGTGAGTTGGGTATGCATGTTACGTTGCGGCATGGGATGGCACTGTAAAACTGACATACGTCTTGACAAATACAAGCAGCCACACAGACACAGACACAGACACAGACACACACACAGACACAGACACACACACACAGACACACACACACACAGACAAACACACACACACACACCCCCACACACACAGACACACACACACACAGAGACACACACACACAGACACACACAGACACACACACACAGACAAACACACACACACAGACAAACACACACACACAGACACACACACACACAGACACAGACACACACACACAGACACACACACCCACACACAGACAAACACACAGACAAACACACAGACACACACACACAGACAAAAACACACAGACACACACACACACACAGACAAACACACAGACAAACACACACACAGACAAACACACACACAGACACAAACACACAGACACACACAAACAGACAGAAACACACAGACACACACACAGACACACACACACAGACACACCCACACAGACACACCCACACACAGACAAACACACAGACACACACACAGAGACACACACACAGACACAAACACAGACAGACACACAGACAGAGACACACAAACACACACACAGACAGACACACACACACAGACAGATACACAGACAGACAGACACACACACAGACAGACACAGACTCACACACACAGACACACACACAGACCCGCACGCACACACACACACACACACACACACACACACACACACACACACACACACACACACACACACACACAGGGCTATTTAAGCGCAATTATCATGAAAGCAACGTCTCCCATTTCACTTTATCCAGATAAGTGTTGACCTTATCTAGAGGTGGACATTGGTTTGAACACGTGACATTTGGAACCATAGCAACAGAGAGTTTGCCAAGGTTATGACGTAGATGATGAACTTTTACAAATCTGTATCTCCAATCATCAGTGATTAAAGGGTGGCCATAGACTTAGAGGGCGTGTTTCATAGTGACAACGGTTGCCATTGTAAACAAGGAAAGACAAAACCGGAAACAAATATAAACCTTTACTTGGATGCTCCTAGTCCTTCATACATTTCCTGAAACAAATATATCCAATACAGACCATGTAAGTCTATAATATTTGGCAAGTCTAGATTACTGCAGTACCTGAAAATAAAGAAAGTCTCTTCGCTCCTTTTTATAATATTTTATAACTATAATTCAACAACTGTCTTTTTCCGTATAATATGTTAATTTCAGAGACAAGATGTGAGTACCCGGCTACCCGCTATTGTATTGTCATGATCAGAATAAGTTCAAGTAGAGCATGGCATGAAATAGACATATAATTTGCATTTGTCATGAATGACTGGTATTCGTTAAACCATAATGATTATCACACACCATTGTTGTTACAGCTGATTCCGAACCAGGAATTAATTCTCTGAAAGTGCATTTTGTGGAAATGAACATTGTAGGGAGGTCATTCTGCAAAATTACAGAGAAATTATATATCAACCATTACATGGTTCAAGCAGGAAACTATCAATCGAATCTGTTCTGATGCTTTCTCCATGACGGTGTGAGGTGAATTGGGGTTTAACGTCGCGTCAAAGAGTATTGTACGTGTGTGTGTGTGGCTGCTTGTACTAGTCCGGACTGATGCCGATTTATAGTGCTAGCTCACTGAGATACCATGCCCCAGTTTAACATGAATACCCCACTCAGACACAGTATACTGACTCCGGGCCAAACAGTCTTTGTTTTAGCCCCTTAATGCCGAGCGCCAGACAAGGTAACAACAAGTACCATCTTTTAACGTCTTTTGGTGTGACGCGGCCGGGGATCGAACCCCGGACCTTCTGCTCTCCGGGCGGACGCTCTACCACTAGACCACGGAGGCGGTCTCTCCATGACGGAATCGTAATAAATATCAATCCCATTTATAGTATGTTTTATCTTTTATCAGCGACAAAAAAGATATATAGAGAGAGATTATTGTGAATACTATTTATTTCTATATATACATAAAGTGGTGTACACTGGTGTACATATCGCATATCGAAAGTTCCGTGTCTCCCTGATGATAAGGCTGAAACATGTAGAACAATGTGTCGTGTAATTATTTTGTGAATTTCTTTATATATATTCCATTTCATTATTTACATTTCATTTCTGCAATATTTAACATTACCTCTTCGGTTCCCGACATGGGTACAATGTGAAGCCCATTTCTGGTGTCCCCGACGTGATATTGCTGGATTATTCAAAGCGGCGTAAAACCATATTCACTCACTCACTAACATCACCTCGGTAATCAACATGTTAAGTTGAGGTTCATGTTTCCATCTTGTTCCATTACAGGGTACAGCAAACAAACTGAACACAGATAAGAGATAATCACTGCATTTAATATAGGTCTTCCGATCGAGGTAATAGAAAACACGTTTGTTAAACATCGTGTTGATCAATATTCAGTTTTATCATGGCGTGTCAGCTTAATATGGACGGAAAGCTCAACGTGACGGATGTTGTTTAGCGATTTAATGAAACGTTCGATCACTGGTATAGAGCTGTCAGACAAGAAGCATAGTCGGATCCTGGTACAACTAAGGGACGCAACTCTCAACAGCTAATTCTATTGCCTTTGACGACTAAGCCCTTTCCTTCATCACAGATAAACATTGTTTTCATTCGGTTTTAATCACATTCGGTTTAATCTCATTAAAGCAATGAAATGGTTACTGGGTTTTTTTCTGTCAAACATTCCCATCTTTTTTTGTGGTATTTCATTGAAATAAATAATTCAAACGGCAATTTTACGGCCAGGCGGTCTCTGTATCAGTTTGATGTTGCGACCGCTTCACTTAACCCAATCCCTCACCCAATATGTGTGTATTGCACCATCTGTTGTTGTCTCTTGTCCAAGAATCCATGACGTGATGGCGTCACAAACTTATCATCGCCATCAGTGTTGACAGTTAAAAAAAAGTCGGATTTCGGTGTTTCCAAACAGGAAACAGGAAGAGCTTCGACAAGTCCACTCGCCTATAGTATTCACTATGTCGCTCAGTCGTTACACTGTCTACCTGTCGTTACACCGTCTAGCTGTCGTTACACCGTCTAGCTGTCGTTACACCGTCTACCTGTCGTTACACTGTCTACCTGTCGTTACACTGTCTACCTGTCGTTACACCGTCTACCTGTCGTTACACTGTCTACCTGTCGTTACACTGTCTACCTGTCGTTACACTGTCTACCTGTCGTTACACCGTCTACCTGTCGTTACAGTGTCTAGCTGTTGTTACAGTGTCTAGCTGTCGTTACAGTGTCTAGCTGTTGTTACACTGTCTAGCTGTTGTTACACTGTCTACCTGTTGTTACAGCGTCTACCTGTCGTTACAGCGTCTACCTGTTGTTACAGCGTCTACCTGTCGTTACACCGTCTTGCTGTTGTTACACTGTCTAGCTGTCGTTACACTGTCTAGCTGTTGTTACACTGTCTACCTGTTGTTACACTGTATATCTGTTGTAACACTATCTATCTGTTGTTACACCGTCTAGCTGTCGTTACAGTGTCTAGCTGTTGTTACACTGTCTACCTGTTGTTACAACGTCTAGCTGTCTTTACGCTGTCTACCTGTCGTTATACTGTCTACCTGTCGTTACACTGTCTAGCTGTTGTTACACCGTCTAGCTGTCCTTACAGTGTCTAGCTGTTGTTACACTGTCTAGCTGTCGTTACAGTGTCTAGCTGTCGTTACACCGTCTACCTGTCGTTACACTGTCTACCTGTCGTTACACTGTCTACCTGTCGTTACACTGTCTACCTGTCGTTACACTGTCTAGCTGTCGTTACAGCGTCTACCTGTCGTTACACCGTCTAGCTGTCGTTACACTGTCTACCTGTCGTTACACTGTCTAGCTGTCGTTACACTGTCTACCTGTCGTTACACTGTCTAGCTGCCGTTACAGCGTCTACCTGTCGTTACACCGTCTACCTGTCGTTACAGTGTCTGAGCTCCCCTCTGTAGAAGGCTGTCCCGGAGTTCGTCAATCAGCGGCTGAGGGTCGTAGTCCTCCCCGATACCTCCGTACCTCTCCGGCAGGTGCTCGGGGCTGATCCATTCATACAACTTCTTCAAATTGTTACCGTGGACGAAAATCTGAAGTGAAAAGAGTTATCATTGAACAAGTTATTACTCTTGACCAGATTAATATGCGAAAACAAGGACCCGATGTGCTGGCGTGGCTAAAGAATTGGACCGCCTCCGAGGTCGATCCCCGGCCGCGTCAAACCAATAGACGTTAAAAGATGGTACTTGTTGTTACCCTGCCTGGCGCTCGGCATCCAGGGGCTAAAACAAGGACTGGTCAGCTCAGGTGGTCCGGTCAGACCGCCTAAGGGGTCGGGTTCTCGGGTCCTTGTTTTCGCATATTTACCTCGTCAAGAGAAATCAATCGTTTGGTTATTCCGAAATTAACTTTAAAGTTTAAGTCTATAATCCGCTCTCATTACATTACAGTAACAGCTGAGAACCGTGAAATGTTCGTACCAGACGGCATCTTGTTTTCTAGCAGACGAGTATTCATCACGTGACGAGTCACGTGATCGCAACTCCCACACTTTAACATAGACTTACGACTGTTGTAGCTCTGATGTGATCGTAACTCCCATACTTTAACATAGACTTACGACTGTTGTAGCGCTTAGGTGATCGTAACTCCAATACGTTAACATAGACTTACGACTGTTGTAGCCCTGGAGTGATCGTAACTCCCATACTTTAACATAGACTTACGACTGTTGTAGCGCTGATGTGATCGTAACTCACATACTTTAACATAGACTTACGACTGTTGTAGAGCTCAGTTGATCGTAACTCACATACTTTAACATAGACTTACGACTGTTGTAGCGCTTCAGTCACTTTGTGGAAGGGTGTCCTGGTCATTATTTTTCCATCAAAATTGCAAAATTGCAAAATTATATATTACATCCCATGTTGCGGTAAAAAGCGACTATGCTTGTCGTAAGAGGGGACTAACGGGATCGAGTGGTCTGGCTCGCTGACTTGGCTGATGCATGTCATCGCATCCCCATTGCGTGGATCGATGCTCATGATGTCAATCACTTGCTTGTTTGGTCCAGACTCGATTGTTTACAGACCGCCGTCATATAGATGGAATATTGTTGAGTGCGGCGTTTAACAAACCAAAATCAACAACCAAATACAAACAAACAAAAGGGGGTAGCTGGGGGTGCGTACCCCGGCACTCATCTTCCCGAGGCAAGTGAGTTAACTGACTATAAAAGTGGAAACTGGACTTTTAAAGTCAGTTAACTCTCTTGCCTCGGGAAGATGCCCGGTACTTACCCTGGACGCTAACTTGTTCCTCATGAAGGGTCTTGCCAGTGCCATCACCATGCTAAAGTACCATGGCTGCCGTATAACGTGGAAACCCTTGAACCGACCCGGAAATGCTCCCTGAAAACATTAGTTTTATTCGTTGTATAAATTGTTGTAACTAAGAGGGTTAAAGATTTAATTGGTTTTACTCAGTAATATGAATTAGTTAGGTAATATTTTGCTGTTCAACAACAACAACAACAACAACAACAACAACAATATTCCTGAATGCGGCGTTCAAGAACAAACGAACAAACAAAACAAGTTCTAACAGCAGCATGTCTAATTACATGGCCTGCATTAGTGACACAGCGATCTACATCACCAGTGGACATCTTCTCGAGGCAAGAGAGTCAACTGACTATTAATAGTCCAGTTTCCACACTTCCTAAACTAGACTGTTCTTCCGGAGTTACATTTTGGCTGGATTAACGAGTCTCTGCATAGTCCAATCAAAATCGCGTAACGAACAAGACACCCGGTTCGTAAATAATATGGTCAACATGCAGATTTTGATAGACTACAGAATTTGCAAAGCATGTGTACAGGTCAACTGGGCGTCGACAGATATTTTGCAAATGTTTTCAAGGTTTTATCAAGTTGCTCGCGTGATTTTGATGCACCTCTTGGGGTAAGACCCGTTTTATTACAAAAGAGATCTTGATTAGCAATGAGATCGTCTTGACCGGGCGCCGCAATTTTTGTTTGAAGCAAATGCAGGTGATATGAGAGGTGGAATCTGATTGGTCAATAAGACGGACATGGTAGGGACATAATTCGTAATAGCCACTGGTGGCGCTACGATCGAGTCTAGAAATTCGGCAAGGTTGGAAGCTGGACTGTTATAGGGAAGATGCCAGTAATTATCACCACCACCACAACCAACAACAACAATAACAACAAACAACAACAAATAAACACAACAGCAATAATATTGCCGAATACGGCATTCAACAAACAAACAAACAATCAAGTTCTACCTGCAGCATATCCACAAGCTTCTTGATGTCCGACGCTTTCATCCGCATCGCTTGGGTGATGTGGTAATCTTCATACGTTTCCAAGACAACAAAGCCCCGGATCTGGTTCTCCTCATTCTCAACCAGGTTCTCGAGGAGGAACAAGAAGCTCGCCAACATCTCGTCAAAGGAGAGTTTGTCGTGGTCCCACGACCCAGTGTCGTAAATGATCACCACATGGCCCTGGAACGGAGGGAAGGTTCTCTGAGTGAGTGAGTGAGTGAGTATGGTTTTACGCCGCTTTTAGCAATATTCCAGCAATATCACGGCGGGGGACACCAGAAATGGGCTTCACACATTGTACCCATATCGGGAATCGAACCCGGGTCTTCGGCGTGACGAGCCAACGCTTTAACCACTAGGCTACCCGACCGCCCCGAAGGTTCTCTGAAGCGGCAGTTAGGAACAGTTCTTTACACATGATTTAATATTACTGTTCATATATTTTTTTCGCGAGTGAGAAACCTTCCCTCTATACCGAAATCTGTCATTTTAAACCTAAGACCGACTCTCCAAACTATGATTGCACGGTATGAATTGATATGTATACGGATCGTACCCTGATCGAACCATAATCGTACCCTGGCCGTACCTTGATCGTACCCTGGCCGTACCTTGATCGTACCCTGGCCGTACACTGACCGTACCCTGGCCGTACCCTGGCCGTACCTTGATCGTACCCTGGCCGTACCTTGATCGTACCCTGGCCGTACACTGACCGTACCCTGACCGTACCCTGATCGTACCCTGGCCGTACCCTGGCCGTACCTTGATCGTACCATGGCCGTACCCTGATCGTATCTTGATCGTACCCTGGCCGTACCCTGATCGTACCTTGATCGTACCCTGATCGTACCCTGGCCGTACACTGACCGTACCCTGGCCGTACCCTGATCGTACCCTGGCCGTACCCTGGCCGTACCTTGATCGTACCCTGGCCGTACCCTGGCCGTACCTTGATCGTACCATGGCCGTACCCTGATCGTATCTTGATCGTACCCTGGCCGTACCCTGATCGTACCTTGACCGTACCCTGATCGTACCCTGGCCGTACCCTGGCCGTACCTTGATCGTACCATGGCCGTACCCTGATCGTATCTTGATCGTACCCTGGCCGTACCTTGATCGTACCCTGATCGTACCCTGGCCGTACCCTGGCCGTACCTTGATCGTACCCTGATCGTACCATGGCCGTACCCTGATCGTACCCTGGCCGTAACCTGATCGTACCCTGGCCGTAACTTGATCGTACCATGGCCGTACCCTGGCCGTAACCTGACCGTACCCTGGCCGTACCCTGGCCGTATCCTGATCGTACCCTGGCCGTAACCTGATCGTACCCTGGCCGTAACCTGATCGTACCCTGGCCGTAACTTGATCGTACCCTGATCGTACCATGGCCGTATCCTGGCAGTAACCTGATCGTACCCTGGCCGTACCCTGGCCGTAACCTGATCGTACCCTGGCCGTACCCTGATCGTACCCTGGCCGTACCCTGGCCGTAACTTGATCGTACCCTGATCGTACCATGGCCGTACCCTGGCCGTAACTTGATCGTACCATGGCCGTAACCTGATCGTACCATGGCCGTAACCTGGCAGTAACCTGATCGTACCCTGGCCGTAACCTGATCGTACCCTGGCCGTAACCTGATCGTACCCTGGCCGTAACCTGATCGTACCCTGGCCGTACCCTGGCCGTAACCTGATCGTACCCTGGCCGTACCCTGATCGTACCCTGGTCGTAGCCATGCCGTACCCTGGCCGTACCTTGATCGTACCCTGGCCGTACCCTGGACGTACCTTGATCGTACCCTGGCCGTACCCTGGCCGTACCTTGCAGCAAATGTACCTCCAAATCCCAGTCTCAAAGATTATCTATAATTCTCAATAGAATCTGGGAAAGACGACTTTCTTTCTTCTCAAAATCTCCAAGGATTTGCTTGAATTTTGCAATTCAGAAAAGAACCAAGTTCAATTATGTCAAAACATTTGATCTTTCAACTTCCTACATTGCTATCCCCCATGACAAACTTGAAAATTCTTCAATCCTTGATCCATGGGAAATTTGTTACCATGTTCAGGACAATTGTCTAAAATAGAAGCAAATGTCATCTGAAGTTTACAAAGAAAACAAAATGTGAAATGTTAGACTTCCTCATTAATACCACCAGCATGTGGTGGTAACATGTAGGCAAATTGTGTTCCTCTCCTTGCTGATCGGTTTCTTAACGCATGTGAATCGGACTTTCTACTCGGATTCACAAAATCAAAACACGGGAATTTGGCCAAGAAGTTTAACTTAAGCTTCAGCTATATCAACCCGTGGAGGACATTTCCAAATTTGACGCAGTGACCAAAATGATGTCAAATGAGGACACCAGAAACGGGTTTCACACATTGTAACCATGTACCCGGACCCGGGCCTTCGGCGTGACCAGCGAACGCTTTACCCACTAGGCCACCCCACGTGGGTGAGTGAGTGAGTGCGTATGGTTTTACGCCGCTTTTAGCAATATTCCAGCAATATCACGGCGGGGGACACCAGCAATGGGCTTCACACATTGTACCCATTTCGGGAATCGAACCCGGGTTTTCGGCGTGACGAGCGAACGCTTTACCCATGAGGCCACCCCACGTAGGTGAGTGTTACCTGTTTGTCTTTGACCGGAAGCACCCCGGGGAACGATTCCTCAAGGGCGTGGCGCACCCCGTTGAAGGTCAGCTGGTCAGTGATGGACTGGTATTTCGACCTGAACTTTACATACGCTGCAGAATCAAAACATCAATATTACACACGTGAGTGAGTGAGTGAGTGAGTGAAAGGGTGGGTGGGTGAGTGAGTGAGTGGGTGAGTGAGTTTGAGTGAGTGAGTGAGTGAGTGAGTGAGTGAGTGAGTGAGTGAGTGAGTGAGTGAGTGAGTGAGTGAGTGAGTGAAAGGGTGGGTGGGTGAGTGAGTGAGTGGGTGAGTGAGTTTGAGTGAGTGAGTGAGTGAGTGAGTGAGTGAGTGAGTGAGTGAGTGAGTGAGTTTTGGATGGTGGGTAGCTCTTTGATGTTAGTGTGGCGGGGTAAGTGAGTGGGGTTTTAAGTCGGTACAGCAATACCACGACACCAGAATGGTCTTCACACATTTAACCATTATTGGGAATTGAACTCGTGCCTTCGGCAAGGCGATCGAACGCTTTAACCACAGGGCTTCAGCACTGTCCTCAGGGATCCCAGTAATTGACACACGTGCCCATTTTTCGAATGGAACTACATGTATAATTCCACTACCAATAGGCCCATCCCTAAAATGTGTTAATGACGTCATTAATCCTGCCGGAGAAAAAATAAGGTTTTTTTTTTCTTCTTTATTTATATTTTATGTCGGCAGTTACATATATACTGGAAACGAATAAATGAACAGTGAAAATTATAGGTAAATAAGCTTTACTGTCAGTACATCTGAAATTGCTTGCATCCAAATTCAACGCGTCAGAATCAAATGATGAGATGTGTTTGTGTGCATTGTGTCCAACGCGTATTTGGTAGACAAGGCTGGGAAGCCCATGGGAGCATATCATTTGACTGTGTCTAAAACTGAGTGTTAGCCTTATCCATGGCATTCGTGCGTGCACAATGATCAGTGTTCAAGTGGTCAAATGGGTTCTATATTACGCGGGCAAGGTGTGTTTGCATTAGTGTTTACAACGTTAGTGCTCCACAGAAAGCAGCGCACTTATCATCATAGTAGTTTCATATGCATGCCCCGATCTCCGTGGACTTGCTGATGACAATCATGTGATTGTGTGTAGGGGTGGTTTGTTGTTTAATGCCCCAGCAATATCCCAGCTATATGACGACGGCCTGTAAAGAATAAATTCTAGACCAGACATTCCAGTGATTGATAATTTGACCACCGAGTCTGACCATGACCTATGCCTTGCCTCTTACGACCAGCATAGGTTGCTGGGGCCCATTGCTAACCCGGAACTGGTTGGGTGGTGGATAGGGATGGGTCGAAGATAGGGGTAGGAATCGACTCTCTTCTTGTCCCTAGTTCGGGTAGATATATTGGGAGATGTTTATTTGATTGTTTGATGACGGCGGTCTGTATTTAATCGAGTCTGGACCAGACACAAAATTGGTGTGAGTGTACGTGCGTGCGCGTTTCAAGTTTTCTCGTATCGTTTTGATAGAGAAATATCGTTCAGCGCATTACGGATATATTGTAATTATCAATGACCTGATGGTAATCTACAGAGTCTACATATCAAAGGTTAACATCGATATGACTATCTATAGTAGAGGTAGAGACTATCCATAGTAGAGGTAGATGAGCTGAAATAGTGTCGCAGTACTATTCCATGGCATCCCAAAACACGTGATCACACTATCGACCATTGTTTACGTGTTCCCGGACAGATACAAATTGTGCATGATGTTTTACGACCCAGTACCCCTCATAATCATTCCATATTATTATATTTCTCTTTATATCAATCTATTACACTCAATGGGGCGGTGGGGTAGTTTGGAGTTAAAGCGTTCACTCGTCACGCCGACGACCCGGGTTCGATTCCCGACATGGGTACAATGTGTGAAGCCCGTTTCCGTTGTCCCCCGCCGTGATATTGCTGGAATATTGCTAAAAGCGGCGTAAAACCATATTCATTCACTCACTCACTATGTCACTCTGTCAAACATTGGTCTGCATGTGACTGACCCAATGCACGGATATAGATGTTAAAGTGTTTTCTTCTGTGTTGTTCGTGGATTTTACACATCGACCTTCGTCAGTCCTCCCACATCAACCTTACACGCCTCGATAAATCTTAAATAGTGTTCAACACGACCATAACCCCAAGGAACACACTCACTTAAAAATCAAGGGGACGGCGTGAATTGTTGCTCACAATATCGATCACTGGATAGGCGCGAATATTTACTGGCCGCCGTTGTATAGCTGATATATTGTTGAAACATAACAGAAACTTATAAAAATAAATAGCGTGTAGCTTTATTACCTTCCATCATGTCATACGTCTTCTTCACGTCAAACTTCTTCGTCCGGAGGAACCTCATTAAATATTTGTCCTCCTTTCCCCCAAAGTACTCCGACACAGCGTCCCCCTTCTCCGTGTCATCCTCATCCATCAGCATCTTCCTCAGTTCCAGCATCTTCTCACTCCGAACAGCATCTGTCTCATTTAGTTCCGACTCGGCCTTCTCCTTCAAGGCTTGAGACAGTTCCCCACACGGTGACAGGATCTCGCGGTAGAACTCTCGCTTCTCTTCCGAAGACTTTGTAGGCACGGAGATGTGACGCTGGAGGGCCGTCGGTGAGGGTTCATTCTCTACGGGCAGGGGTTGACCCTTCTCTATAGGATTACACTCCTCTCCATTTGGAACAGAATTGGAGGAATCTGTAGGACGAGGGTCTGTTGTTTCTGTGACGGTTGTTTCGGTAGCTGGTTGGTTGTTTGAGTCTTCTGTTTGTTGTTCATCTGGTGGAGGGTTAGAGGTTACTTCCGGTGATGGATGAGTGGTTACTTCCGGTGTGGGATTTGAGGTTACTTCCGGTGTGGGATTAGAGGTTACTTCCGGTGTGGGATTAGAGGTTACTTCCGGTTTGGGATTGGAAGTTTCCTCTGTTGGTATGGTATTGTCCTCTTGCTTTGCTGGGTTTGGAGTATCCTCTGGGACGGGAATACTGTTTTCTTTTGGGTTTGGTCCCGTAGTGTTTGTTCTGGTGTCTGGTTCACTCATTTTCATCAACGAATGGTACTCTGCCCACAAAGAGTCCCTTCACTGTTCAAAATAAAGCAATTATTTGATTATTGATGTAGTTAATTTGTGGTAATCGAATACATCATAGACATGCCTGAAAGGTAGGTGAGTGAGTGAGTGAGTGAGTGAGTGAGTGAGTGAATGAGTGAGTGAGTGAGTGAGTGAGTGAGTGAGTGAGTGAGTGAGTGAGTGAGTGAGTGAGTGAGTGAGTGAGTGAGTGAGTGAGAGAGTGAGTGAGTGAGTGAGGTCTTTGACGCGTAACACTTTAGTGAAACCCATGGGACAGGTATTGTTCTTACAAACAAAAAGCATAATAAGATCAAATATGGGGTTCCAACTCACGACGATAAAATGAATGAGCGAGTATTGTTTGTCTGTTAGTTTGTTGTTCTACGCTGCAATAAACAATATTCCAGCTATATGACGGCGGTCTGAAAATAATCGAGGCTAGACATCATGAGCATCAATCTACGCAATTGAGATGCGATGACATGCATCAACCAAGTCAGTGAGCCTGGCCATCCGATCCATTTAGTCATTTAGTGCGGCGTTAAACAACAAACAAACAAACAAATCTTACCCGGAACTTCGGTCGGATAAAAAACGCGAGGACCATTTGAAGCGTCATAAAATACCTTAAGCGGAGCAGTAAATGAACCCGTGTTCAACGTCGTGTGTGAGGGCTGAAGGGTTGATTTCCATGTCACATTGTAAAAACGCGATGTGCTGTCGAGTTGTGGGTTAAATATGAGTTCGTTGATCAGTATTCAGAGCTTATTGCTGACTTATTACAGCAAAGAATAACAAGAATTGGCTTTACTCGTTGAACTCTTTAATAGATAGGAATTTAGATTCTTTTTATAAGTTGAAAAAAAGGACAAAAGTACGCTATAACAGTCAAATGTTACGAATAAAGAATGAAAATAACACCAGAAACACCAAGTTCAACGTTGGCAATAAAGAACACCAGAGGGCGCTGCAATTTGTAACATATTCCGAGTTTAATCGGCTTTTTCCGCCGAGTATATGATAAATGTATGCTGAAGTGCTCAATGTATTACGTCACTCTGGGCGTCACGTCAAGCTTTATTTTGTTTTGACCATCCGGAGGTCACTGTTATTTTTTTCTGTAACATGTTGATAAATGGAAAAAAACAAAAAAAAAACAATAAAATTGTTATAAAAAATAATTAATTTTGAAAAGTGATATCTCAGTCAGAAACTACTGAAACTCTTAGATATGGGGCGGTTGGGTAGCCTAGTGGCCACGTCGAAGACCCGTGTTCGATTCCCCACATAGGTACAATGTGTGAAGCCCATTTCTGGTGTCCCTGGCCGTGGTATTGCTGGAATATTGCTAAAAGCGGCGTAAATCTATACTCACTCACTCTTATAAGCTATATTTTACAGGAAAAAAATGTATTTGATAAATATAGGACAGTACATTTTATTCAGACGGGTTTGAATAATCTGCAAAACAATCGCGACGTGAGGTAGGAGCGACACCTTGTGATGGCAAAGTCCTCACTGAGCCCCTTTGTGGTCTTGAATAGTGGGGAGGCAAGCTCACCCACTCCGCCACCAGGTGTCGCTAATACCTCACTAAGGGACCAATCTGAGGGCGTAAGAAACCGTTCCTCTCAGTTGGTTTTAATCAAATTTTATTTTCAATTAAAAATATCTAAAGTTATCTAAAGCGATATTATATCCAAACTATAAATTGTACCGGTGCTTTGTCATCACTAAAAAGATTTTTAGACGTGGTTTTATTTCAAAAACAAAATTGATTTATAAGTTATAAAAAAATATAATTCGCATAAAACACAACTGCTGATGGGAATCTTAGACAACTTATCTTTGAAAATAAATACATTTGCTTTCTTCAGCACAAATTTACAACATTTCAAGCACAGTAGGGTTCATGTGGTTTCAAATTAATTTTTTAACCCCAGTTTTTATTTAACCAATATATTTTTTAACAATATTCCCAGTCGCGGATTACTTTTTACAAACCGTTGCATGTATGAGTGATGGGTAATAGACCTAATTAAATTTAACATCAGTTCGTCAAATTTAAATACATACATGTAAAAATCAAACTCGGTATACTTTCTTTTGCACTTCAGTATACTTTCTAACACGCAGACAAATCTATATTTTATTTTTAAAAGACCAAATATTTATCTATCAGAATAGTGAGTGAGTGAGTATTGTTATACGCCGCTTTTAGCAATATTCCAGCAATATCACGGCGGGGGACACCAGAAATGGGCTTCACACATTGTACCCATGTCGGGAATCGAGCCCGGGTCTTCGGCGTGACGAGCGAACGCTTTAACCACTAGGCTACCCGACCGTCCCTATCAGAATAGACAGTTGTGTTATATGTTATGGATATATACGCAATCTGACCTTGCTTGTGTATGGGAAGCTACTGATGTGGTTACTACATCTCGTTACTATGACGACCAGTAGTCAGGAAGAATGAGTAGACTCCGGGTGATAAGACCTGATGTAGGCTGCCGGGAGATGTATATAGCCTCGCCGCTATCTACTATACTTCAACATTGACGTTATCGTGTTTCAGATATGCATTCAAGCAACAGCTGGTGGACATTGATCTTCCGATAACGCTGTAATGCCATTGAGATAACTTGCAGGCTGCAGAATGAATAAACAAATATACGAACGAACGAGCGAACGAGTGAGTGACTATGGTTTTACGCCGCTTTTAGCAATATTCAAGCAATATCACGGCGGGGGACACCAGAAATGGGCTTCACACATTGTACCCATGTCGGGAATCGAACCCGGGTCTTCGACGTGACAAGCGAACGCTTTAACCACTAGGCTACCCGAACGATCGAATGAATGAATAATAATTAAGAAATAAATAAATAAATAAATGAATGAATGAATGAATGCATGAATGCATGAATGCATGAATGAATGAATGAATGAATGAATGAATGAATAAATATATTTAAAAAAATGAATAAATGAATTATTCAGTGGGGCTTAGTTAATATAAGCTGCTATCTATCAGGTACAGACTAACATACAACTGAGTTAACAAAGAAATGCTACAGAGGAGAAATAATAGGATTAAATGAACGAATGAAATAAACATCGTGAAATAATCATTAAGTGCTTGCCATCTTTACTGGGTGACAAAATATCAAACACATTAAATCGAACAGACAAGAGTGGGTACGGTACTTCTTGTACAGCATGGCGACCTACCCTTGAAACGTTGTTTAGTGTGCACCTCGTGTCTTACAATGGATTTAACATATTTTCCTGAAACACGTTTTCCTTGTTTATTTCAGTGGGCGCAGCTGTATACATTATACAGCATGGGCGTAAACAAGTCGTGGTGCGAATGCGTGACGCGTACGGCGTGGATCCTCTCCATTAATCAATCACCCAAGGTTGTTTTGTGCAGTGTTGTGTTATTGCAAACCGTATGCCTCCTTGATATTGTCAACCATATTTAATCATTTACGACAATGCGTTGATATGATGTCACGTATCTGTGGACCCCTTTGCAAACAATGAAAACATTGAACAATTGGCCTGAACTAGCCAAGAAATATAATACTCAGTGTCATAGTAGATCGATGCTCATGATGTCAGTCATTGGTTTGCCTGGTCCAGACTCGAGTTCAAATTTTACATCGCGGCGGAAATATTACGGCCATAACGCAAAGATAATACTTGACTTTTCTTGTCACATGTTTTTTCTCAAAGAGTAACCTGCAAAGTTGATCTTTTCATGAGTGGCGCAAGGTTCCTGTTATTTGTTCCATTTACTATGTATTTTCTTGAATAAATTTTATCACATTTATCTGAAAACCTTAATTTCATTGAGGCAGATTGAATACATGTAGGTCTTCAGCAACCCATTCTTGCCATAAAAGGCGACTATGCTTGTCGTAAGAGGCGACTAACGGAATCGGTTTATGAATTATTTTTATAAACTTCCGGGCAAAAGACAGTGTACACATAAAATTGGCTTTGACAAAAAAAATCACAAACTTTATCAAAATAATGTCACTGGGCTAAACACAGTCTCCGAAACAAACTTACGTCCAAAAGACAACTATAATTACCATCACTTTTTTGTTTCATGTTCAGCCATCATGAAACATGAGTGGACGTGTTCTTTCTTTTCATGGCAATTTAGAGCGAACACAATATGGAGAATGTTAACCTGATTATATATTTGAAGATGTATATAGCATTGATCACTAGGTACTTAATAAGATACGAGTTCTTATAATAACAATGCGTTATAATCTATAACAGATACTTATGCACAAGCATACCTTGATGATATTTTTTCACCTTTGCTGTAGGATTTACGGTAATTCGTCAAAATGTGCTGGGGCGAACACAGGCTATTAATAATAGTATTATGTGAGGTATACAAGAGCGTGTCCTTGAATGAACAACATGGCTCTATGGCTGAACTTGTTCACGTTATGAATGAGGTAACGGTGCTTTATAATCGCAATGCTCACAGCTTAACCTCTCATTGACAGCCATTCAGCGGCCATGACAGACGCTTCACAAATCGTGTGATTGGTTCAAGGTCGTCTTAAATTGTTAACACGTAATTTCCGATCTTGAAAATGTCAAACTGACCTAGCTCTGTAAACTCTCTCCTACATATTGGTCTCTATGACATTCACCTTAGGTCTGACCGGATGTATAAACAGGCCTAAGGCACTTCTACGGAGGCCTCTTAGGGCCATATGCTTTTTAATTTTTTCTTGATATTTGCGGATGACATGTTAAAATAATACATAAGTTGAAATTCAAGACAATGATCATGAAATTTCAAGATAATAAGGTAACATTTTGTCACCGCTACCACTAGTTCATAACTTGCCCTCACCATTGTACATGTTCACTATATAAATGCATTTCAATTCCGTTCCGGCTTAAATTATTATCTTGAAATTTGAAGTAAGTATCTTGAAATGTAAAGATATTAACCTGAAATATCAAGAAAGTATCATGAAATTGCAAGATAATAAGTGGAAATTTCATGTTAATATCCTGAAATAATAAGACAAAAATATAAAAAAGTAAATGACCCTATACTATTCTCATATTTCAGAATAACGTTCAGAGTAACTTCTGAGTATGTTTTAATTCTGAGAATGTTTATCACTTCGGTCCCAGTTTCACAAAGTTATTTAGCACTATGAGTGTTGCAAGTTAATTTAACATAGACTGAAGTTGGGAGTATAATACTAAGAGCGTTACCAGGGTCCCAGGACGAAAATAGGCTAGTGTAGGTAAGAGCATTAATTAGCGGTGATGTGAGGTGAGGTGAAATGGGGTATGGCGCTGCGTTCAAGGTAACTGCACTTAAAAAACAATAGCTGTACTGTAAATGGTCTGATAGGTGAGGTGAAGTAGGGTTTAACATCGCGATTATTGAATGTATGCAACGTGTGTGTGCGCGCGCGCGTGTGTGTGAGAACTGAGCTCAGCACACACACGCACGCACGCACGCACACACACACACACACGTTGCATGCTGTAATCGTGACGTTAAACCCCATTTCACCTCACCTATTTGAACATTTACGGTACAGCAACTCCCAATCCTGTTCCACGCTAATGAAGCCAGGAAGTCAAACACGGGCGACACCAAAAGGATTGATATGAATCGCTGAGGATTACACTGGCTATATATACATGTATCGGACACCATCCCAATCAAATCGTGGAAGCAACATACTCACATATATATATATAGAACCCTTGATGCACCTCGCCCGTACTCACATACTCGAAGTCTCAGGCCCTGATCGTGTCACAACACGGAACTATCAGCTTTCAACAATACTAAGCCTATACTTTGATCGTACCACGTGACAACTCACAGTATCATTTGCTAGGCGAGCGAGATAAAAAGTATTAATATACCTGCGTCATGATCACTATATAGTGAGAAGCCTGTTTGATTGATTCCCGTTTTATGCGTATGCAGGAATGATTGACGTGATCTATCAGATGTGTTATGATTTTGCGTGAAATCTGTTTATATGCTTTCAGCCAGTGTGTTTTGTTTTTTGCGTTTGTCATGCAGACGTGTCAGTGTAGATGAAAAGTGCTATACCGCGTCATTCATTATAGGGGTGGGTGGGGTCAGAGGGATGCACGGATGAGGGTGTGGGGGCGTGGCGGGGGGACAGGGGGATTCAGTGTCACCCCCACAATATGCAGTCTCTATAGTCTTTAGGGGAGGGTCATAAAAATATTGCACATATTTGGGAAGGGTAGTGTCAAAATGAACATTTTATATTAAGATATAAAGTGTTTTGCATTTTGTGGGGTTTTTTTTTTGGGGGGGGGGTTATGAAAAAATGACCAAATGCGACAAGCATTGGGGAAGGGTAATTGTTTTCAGTACACAAGAGCGCATAAAAATAACAATAAAAGTGAACTCTTTAATTAATTTGATTATTGAATTACAGGAATGTCCTTATGGCGTTCACAAAGTCTGGGAGTAAACTATGTGTATTTGTTTAAACTATTAAGGGCTAAGACATTAAGCGAGTACAACTACCTCAGTGAGGCAGAATTAACCGTGGGAATTATGGGGTCCCCAGCAACCTCTGCTTGTCGTAAGAGGCGACTAAATGGATTGGGTAGTCAGGTTCGGTGATTTGGTTCATTATAAGTCACCATGTCCTAATTGTGTGACGATCCGGTTAGAATAGGTCTTCAGCAACCCATACTTGCCGCAAAAGGCGACCATGCTTGTCGTAAGAGGCAACTAACGGATCGGTTAGTCAGGCTCGCTGACTAGGTTGTTGCATGTCATCGTATCCCAATTGCGTAGATCGATGCTAATGATGTCAATCACTGGGTTGGCTGGTCCAAATTGGATTATTTACAGACCAACATCTGATTTTAATGAAATTGTGCCTGGTTTTTTTTTCAGTGATCCATTCATCTCATTTTCACCACTATTTTGCCTTTCACGCCCAATGGAATCTGTTTCGGTGGATAATCGAGACTGGTTATTCTCAGGCGTTGGCCGTTTATATTCATAATTTCTAGTGTCTCTCAGTCAGGAATGTGTTCTCCTGAGATCAGGTCAGTATGTTTGTGTGCAGTGACGTGCTACGAGGAAGTGAGTGAATGAATGTTATTTTACCCCGCAGTGAGCAATGCTTCAGTTGTATCATAGCGGTCTCTACATAAAACAGATGGTTGACATCATGAGCAATAATGCACGCCCACCGGATGGTCATCGCATCAGTGGGGTACGGGTGGCCCAAACGTCTGAGGGATGCAAGTCGCTGTGATGGGCCCGCATCACTTTGGCCTTTCCGTCACGTTGAAATGTAACTGACATACTTTTGAACGTTGCGCCAAATCACTCACTCACTCACTCACTCACTCACTCACGCACGCACACACACGCACACACACGCACGCACGCACGCACGCACGCACGCACGCACCCAACATCACCACTCACTCACTCAGACCGCCTCCGTGGTCTAGTGGAAGAGCGTCCGCCCGGAGAGCGGAAGGTCCGGGGTTCGATCCCCAGCCGCGTCATACCAAAAGACGTCAAAAGATGGTACTTGTTGTTACCCTGTCTGGCGCTCGGCATTAAGGGGCTAAAACAAGGACTGGTCGGCTCGAAGTCAGTATATTGTGTCTGAGTGGGGTATTCATGTTAAACCGCGGCATGGTATCTCAGTTGGCTAGCACATTAAATCGGCATCAGTCCGGACTAGTAAAAAAGCAGCCACACACACACACACGTGCATGCACGTCGCTATATAAGTGCAATATTCTTGGACGCGACGTTAAGATCAATTTCACCTCACCTCACCTCACTCACTCACTCACGTTTCATGGTGGCTAAACATAAAATAACAAAGTGCTGATGACTAATATAGTTGTCTTTTGGACCTAAGTTTGTTTCGGGGACTGTTTTTAGCCTAGAAACATTTGATAACGTTGGTGATTGTTTTTGTCAAATCCAATTTTCAAGTGTACACTGTCTTTTGCCCGGAAGTTTCTAAAAATCCATATATAAAATTACAGATAAATAAGATAAATATCTCATGTTCCAGTTATATGACGTCTGTAAATAATCGAGATTGGACCAGACAATCCAGTTATTGACATCATGTGCATCGATCCACGCTATTGGGATACGATGACATGCATCAACTAAGTCAGCGAGCCTGACCACCCGATTCCGTTAGTCGCCTCTTACGACAAGCACAGTCGCCTTTTACGGCAAGCATGGGTTCCTGAAGACCTATTCTACCCCGGATCATCACGGGGTCTAATATCTCATTGTTTTGCAGGGCCCGCGAAACGCATTGAAAGAATT